ATATTACTTTAAACAGTTAATTGAGTTTTAATTCTAAGTCCTAACCATACCTCTTGTCTTTAAAAAGTTTCCTACATTAAATATAAAAATGTTTTTAGATTCAAAGTTAATATAGTATTATTCGGAATAACTTAAAATGAATTACTATATTTAATATTATAGATTTATATTTGGGAGAATATTTAAAAAACAGGCCTAAATTATTTTTTTATTGTGTTCAATCAATACTATGTCAAGATTACTTGGGTACAAAATGACAAATGATATTTTAATTAATAATAATTAGAATAAAATAAACTAATAATTTATTTAAATTTTTAAAAATAATTTAAAATTTTAGTTAGGTATTATACTTTTATTTTTAATTTTTTATATTAAAAAGTATTGAATTTATATTATAAAAATTTAAGTTTTAATATGAACATATCAAAATAAAAAATTTTATCTTAATTTTTATGAAATTTAAAAAATATATATTTAAAAACGAGAGGAATATTAAATATATAAAAAAATTTTAAGTAGTGAGTTTGCCAAATGATAACAAGCCCCATCTGTTGGGTTAAGTTTAGGTCGTGGGCCCAAATGTTAATGGGCCTAAAGCTCAACTGAAAAACATTTTCCTCAAAATAAATAATTTCTTTTTTAAAAGGAAAATTTAGAAAAAAAAAAAGAAAAAAGAATGGAATTCCCCCAAAAATCACATGGTCAAAACTAATCATTAGGAAAGTCAACGGCAATGTTGCGCATTTTCCTGATCAAATCGAACAAACCATGATTGTGTCCCTGGAAGAAGACAAAACCCAAGGAAATCATACGGTAGCAATCTTAGCTGTCGTCCATACCTCCAAGACCGACAGTCACTTTTATCTCTGACGTCAACACTCTTTCTAGAGACTGTGTCCGTCTTGTGGATTACTAATTATATCTCCAAAACCCTAACATAAACCCCCCAAAATTTCCTAAAGCCTAATTTAATCTTTCAACTTTCTCTCTTCAATTTTGGGTTCCTTTCTTTCCACTCTCTAGAAACCTTTTTTGGCTCCTCTCTTTCCACGGTATGTCGAAGGTCACGCAAATGGAAAGCCTGTCCCACAACGCTGTCGTTTTGGACAGTTTCCTGGGCTTTGCACTGCAAGCTATGGTTGTCGAGACCGCCATTGTTGCATCAAAGTCTGTCGCTTGGTTGCTCATGATGGTACACTTTTCTTTCCTTCTTTTGTTATTTAATTTACTTTTTTATTTTTGGGTAACTGGTTTTGAGTGGTCTTTGCAATTCTATGGATTTTTAATTTTCCTTGAATTTGTTGGCAAAATTGGGAACTTTTTCTTTGAGAATTTGATTCCATTATTCCAGAAATTAGAATTTTTGAGTTTTCAGCTTCAATGCAATTTTTATTAATACCCAATTATTCTAATTTTTTGAGGTTAGGGTTTTTTAGGTTAAGCGTAGGTTGATATGGAATGTTATTGACATCAAGAGCAAGCCACTACTTTTAGGTTATAAGAATAGTTTCTTGTGTTGAGTGTCTCATTTGAGTGTGCACATATGTTTATGTGTTTTGGTGCCAGAATGCTTATGTGTTTCTTCATTGGGTCAAAAAACAGATTTGTAAGTCATATGGTAATGGGTAATTTCATTTTTCCTATTCTTAAAAATGTGTCCTTTGATGTGGAAATCTGCTTACTTTCATTGCTCACAAACTGCACTTGGAAGAACACTATTTTTCTCCTCAGTATGAGTTTGGTGTTTTTTCCAGATGGGAACTCTGCCTAATGGAATTGATGTCTTCATCAAAGAGACTGAGGCATATGCAGGGTTAGTTTCATTATTTATTTTGCCTAACTTGGTTTTTTTCTTCTTCTTTGGAATGGGGAAAATTGGTCTATTTGCTTTTGCAGGTTTCCACTTGCTCAGCTTCTTGTGGTGAGAAAACCTGGTCTGGAGAACAAGGATGCTAGTGACACTGAGGATGATGATGATGATGATGAGGAAGATGAAGCAGCAGATGATCAAGATGAAGATGGAGGTGAGGAGGAAGATGGATCTGGTGAAGAGGGTGAAGATCAAGGGGATCCTGAGGATGAACCTGAGGCCAACGGGGATGGCGGCAGTGGAGATGAGGATGAGGATGAGGATGATGACGACGACAATGAAGATGGTGAGGAAGAGGAGGAAGAGGAAGAAGAGGAGGAGGACGAAGAAGAGGAAGAGCTTCAGCCACCAGCTAAAAAGCGGAAATGAGCTGGGATCTTATTCTTGTTTTTTATTGTCCTGCTGAGGTTAGGGGGTATGGTGTAGTGGGAAGTTAGAACGGGCAGATTCAGGTTGCGGGTTAAGAGTGTCTGTCTAAATTAGGGTAGAGAAGATTGTGACATTTCTGGAAATGAGACTTGTTTGATATTTCCTAATATACAGTTCTAGTATTATTTTATAAGCTTGGCTTCATTCTTCTCTCCTCTACTCTTTTGTATGAGTTGCTCCTTTGAGGTTTACATTTATGCATCAGCACCTTAAGAATGCTACAGCCTCTGGTCATTTCCAACCATACTCTATCTTATGCCTCTAGTTGCTTCCAAGATTCCAACTTGAGGCTTAGTAGTTTCTGAAGAATGTTTAATGTTTCTTCAGGAAAGAAGAGGGTGGCCGAGTTGTAAGGTGGAGGGATTGAAGGAAAGACCAAACTCTGCCCAAACAGGGTAAAAGCCATTTGCAATTTGCACGTCTAATTAATTTGAAGGATTAACAAGAAGGGATGATGCACTGGCTAAATCCTGAGCTTTATGCCGTTTTACATAGTGGTTGTATATGTAATATATGCTTTAAAATCAATTCGGTGAGTGGGGAACCTCTTTAACTATGCTTGCTGGTCAGTGAATTCATTTTTATTGTAATTTCGTAGCATTTTCTTCTGTTGGCTGCTTGTTAGCCTCCTTTTCTTTTGTTAGTAAAGTTGCTTATTCATCCGCAGTTATGACACCTGTTTTGTTGGGTTCTGCAGAGCTTGCAATAAACTTGAAACAAAGACATTACTAGGAATAAAAGAGCCTCATTTCGGTCATTCTTTTCTTACTACAAAGTACCAGAAAATATTGTTTCTAACAGGCCTCGATAATGGACCCAGCAGGCGACAACAGAAAAGGAGGATCCCAAGCATAGGCGAAACTGACTGCTGAAGCCTCGCAAAGAATTGCCTTTGACGAGGAGGCAATTGTCACCTTGCTTCTCAAGGATATTTGGATCCACAGCCTCAGTAGACTGGAATCCCTAGCACTCAAGCTTTACTTCGTGCTGAGTGCAGTCGCAGTTGTTGGTAACTGTCGCCTTCCATTCAGGCTTTCCTCGTATCTTCTTCCTAGTCCTGACGGTCCCAACGTTGATGTCATTCAAGGAGCAAAGACAAAACCCTGCATTTAGACAAGAAAAAAAACATTGACCATGGTGCCTGAAAATTCATTGTATTGTCCACAAAATATGCTCTACATTTCCTTCTTGATTGCAGAGATGCAAGAGCTTACCTTCGGTAACTAGACTCAGAATAAGAATTGCTAAAAAAGCCTTAGTAGGAGAAGCCATTGCTGATTTAAAGGTTTATGATCGATTCCTTGGATACAAAGGGTACATCTGTAACCGTCTCTTTATATTGCCCAAGCAAATCGTAGCTCTACATAATATTGGTAATGCATCTTCGAATTTAATCTTTTCCCCGTGAGGGTTGCCACGATTTTTCTCAAATTTGTCAAACTCTGGTAATGATGGCAAGATATTGCTTCTTCAATCTGTGAAAAAAGCGAGTCAAATTGAAAACCTTGCTGCAATCTTATGGTATCTCATTCATTAAAAAAAGATTGGCATCCTGAATTCGAGTTGTAACCCACATTTTGAAGAACCCGAAATCATGACTTGGAAGAATTTTTTAATGTTGGTTTGCCTTGTTTGACTAGTATAATCAACTAGTTGCTTCTTTTGTTCAACTGGTAGAAGCCTTGAACATGAACCTGGGAATCCGGTATAGCAGAAAATTAATAAATGAAGCAGAGGTTCCTTTTTTCCCGGAGTACACCTGACCAAGATGTCTATGGGTTCACTAAATTAAAAATGACTGCAAAAGTCTCAGATATTGACCTCTGAAACTAAATATTTATTTCCTACGGCAGAAGTTTCTTCACATTTTATTTGTTTTGGTTAGTTATGGTAAGAAGAACACCGGGCTTATGGTTGTGATGACTGGTGATGAACGAATCACATATGATTGGCAACTTCCAATTGGTTTGTTAGGCTCCATTCTTTTCTTTGATCTGTTAGGTGGGGACTTTGGTTTTCCCATTTTAGCAGACAGTCCATCACCAGTTACATACTAGAAATTAAAATAGTTTTCTCTTTCCTGATGACTAAATCGCAAGCTTCTGTCAAATGAATACTTCACCAAATTATTCCTAACCCATATTTTCAATCAGTCCTGTGGTTATAAATATTTTTTTTTCTCAAATAATTGATGGGTTCTTTGCAATTTGTATTCCCTGTCAATGCCACTAACCAAAGCCTGATAGGCAGTAACCTTTCGAGAGGGCTAGCAGAGGAATGAACTTACAAAATTAAAAACTTTATTGTAACCTTGAGCTGGGAAGCTGCAAAGGGGCTCTTGAAAGTCAAAGTTTGGTTGTTTCCTTTTCTTTTGTTGCAAAGACTAATCAATTATTTAGATTCTTAATCTCTACTCTGGACTTTTCTGATGAAAGAACAACTAAGTTTTCACCAGCTCCATCTGCCCCAGTAGTATAAACTATAAATTTTATTTTATTCAAGTAATCATGTGTACCTTGCTTGATTTGATTACTTCAAACCAGTAGACTTATCCAAAGAACCTGCAAAATCTCTCACCTTCTGTCTGATGTCAACTGTTTTTTCTTTTACATCCAATCAGATTCTTTATATTCTTCACATTGCTCAACCTGTAGTTGTACATGACAGCTAATTGCAGAAGGTATTGTTGCTCTACGAAATGAGTTTCCTGTTTAAGCTTCTGTTTTTGTGTTTTTGGCTGTATTGGCTGAACCAAGGCTCATTCTTTGTCACTTCACAAAGAAGAGGGTGGTCTGGAAATGTTATTAGCGGCACTGTTGTTATTAATGGAACAGCTTCAATAGGAAAAACAGATGACAATTTCATCTGTGCTACTCTGGATTGGTGGCCTCCTGAGAAATGTGACTATGGAACATGTAGCTGGGGCAGAGCTTCTCTTCTTAATCTAGTAAGCAGCTTATCTTTAGGCCTCTCAGATAACATAATCACGGAAAAATTCCAGCTTTCTGAAATTTTACTGCCTGCTCCACTCTGCAGGATCTTGCCAACCCCATATTATTAAATGCTCTCAAAGGTAAGCAGTTCTTTCCATTTTAATTTGGAAAGAAATGATACACATGGAAGTTCAAAACTTACAATGTCACTCTTAGCATTCAGACTTATCCATATTGCAGCTTTTTCGCCGTTAAAGATCAGAATGGGTGGTACCCTGCAAGATAATGTCATTTATGAGACAAAAGGTGATAAAAATCATTGTGCACCATTTACTAAAAGTAGTTCAGAGATGTTCGGTTTCTCCAAAGGTTGCTTTCCTATGTCTAGATGGGACGAACTCAACATTTTCTTCAAAAAAGCTGGGTCAGTAATTAAACTTTATCAACATCTCCATGAACTTTGCAATCCGTCTCTTTCCAAACATTTACACAGCTAGATGAAACATGCTGTAACTGGATCCATTGCGCTTTTACTTCCAACACAGGGCTATGGTTGTTTTCGGATTAAATGCATTAAGTGGGAGAACTATAGGTCCAGATGGTTCTGCCATCGGAGCTTGGAATTCTAGCAATGCTGAATCGCTCATACGATACACTGTCAACAAGGGCTATACTATATATGGTTGGGAACTTGGTAAAATCTCTCCCAATATGCAGTTTAATGTCTAGGAAAATAAATGACTCCGAGTTAATCTTGCCTGCCTTTCTTCTTTTCAAAAGCAAATTCTTTTCCTGCATTTGTTATCTGAAGCAATGAGCTGAATCAGGAAATGAACTGTGTGGCTCTGGCGTTGGAGTACGAGTCTCAGCAGATCAATATGCATCTGATCTGAACTCTCTTCAGAACATTGTTCAGAATATATATAGAGGATTTGAGGTTAAGCCACTAGTAATAGCACCAGGAGGATTCTTTGATGCAAATTGGTTCGCAGAATTTGTAAAAGAAACACCTAAATCTCTTCAAGTAGTAACCCAACACATTTACAACCTTGGTGCAGGTAGTACTTCAGTTATTAAAAGTAACCTTAAAGAAGAAGCCTTTCGAAGTAAAGACATTATTTTCCCTGTATGTAGGTAATGATAATCAGCTCATCAACAAAATCCTAGATCCATCCTATCTAGATGGTGGGAACCAGCCCTTTAGAGACCTTCAAGCAATTCTGAAGAATTCAGGAACTTCAGCAGTCGCTTGGGTTGGTGAAGCAGGAGGAGCTTATAACAGTGGCCAAAATCTTGTCAGCAACTCATTTGTATATAGTTTGTGGTAAGCTTGGGCACATTTTCTGCTCTTCATTTTCATGGTAAGCTTGATCTGACATGGATTCTTTGCTGGCTTTTTAATGATTAAACAGGTACTTGGACCAGCTTGGGATGGCATCATCTTATGATACCAAAACATACTGCAGACAGACATTGATTGGTGGAAACTATGGCCTGCTTGACACTGCTACCTTTGTCCCACATCCAGATTACTACAGGTAGCGTGCTCCTCGAACTTCAGATTTTCCAAATCATTTCTTGAACCAAAGTCAGCAAATTAGATATATTCATGCTGCAGTGCTCTTCTCTGGCATCGTTTAATGGGGAGCAAAGTCCTGTCCACGAGCTTCTCTGGGACAAGAAATCTACGAGCTTATGCTCACTGTTCTAAACAATCTGTAAGCAAACCCTTGACCCAGATTTGGCATCAAAGCAATGTTTATCTGTACTCGGCTAATGTATCAGGGGTTCCTTTTAACAGCAAGGAATCGCATTGCTTCTCATCAATTTAAGCGCAAACACTACATTTCAAGTCCGAGTTTCGACTGAAAGTCCTGCTAGCAATGGAGGCTTGAGATTGCAGCAAGAAGACCAAACACCAAGAATAAATTTTGCCACAATGCCTGGAAATTCTAAAAGGAATGGAAACACTAGGGAAGAGTACCATTTGACAGCTAAAGATGGGAATTTACACAGTCAAATTGTGCTTTTAAATGGGAAAGTACTCGGTCTAAATTCATCTGGGGGTATCCCTTCCATGGACCCAGTAAAGAGGAGCATGTTAGATCCCATCAGTGTTGCCCCTTTCTCCGTCGTGTTTTCTCACATTCCAAGCATACAAATCCCTGCCTGTAAGTAAGGATGACCAACATAATATTTTATGATTGAATTGTTTGAGCAATATCCATTAGCAAGAAAATGCCAAATCCAGATTTTAAGTTGACTTTCTGACATTGCGCTGTTACCTCCAACATGTATTTGAATATTTACTTAGGATACAAACATATGCAATAACTGGGCCAGCTCTTTTGGCTATTGTATAATTGATTTCATTTTTTAAGTCAAACGTGTAAATTTCACTTTATCTATCCAATACGGGATTTCTTAACTTATTTGAATTCGTTACACCCTCATTACAAGTCATGTCTCCTTGCTCTCTCTCACTTGAATCCTTTATGTTCCCATTACAAGTTTACTCACTCCACCAATTACAAACCGAATTTAGATTAAATTTGATATTATTTTATCACGCAATTATTTTTAATTAATTAAAAATAAAATAATGTTTTTATCAATGGTTAAAATACTCTTAGCATAGAAACATTTTTAATTCGATACGCCAACTTCACAGATTCAATAATAATATTTTTATTTTCTGATTAAACGAGTACACGATAGCGAATCAGCACATTGATAGAACCAAACTATGCACAAAGCAATAACAAAGACAGCTAAATCTGCAACCTGCATTCAGAATTTAGTCGAGAAAGGAGTCACTGCACTCATTTTCTGAGTCACTTGGTGAAAAAATATTGAAGCCATTACATAGAAGAAACGAAATAGTATTGAACTTTGATCAAACTTATTAAAAAAAATCCTCCTTCCTCCCAACCAGCAGTTAGTACTTAGCACCAATTTGCAGATTAAACTGTTTTCATCGTCTAAAAAAAATCCTGGTTTATATCCACATCTAAAAGAATGATCCATCCGGCGCTATAGAAAATCCCTCACTGCAGCTGTATCTGATAAAAAGATGTCCACATGATGTTGCGAGAGCAGTTTCGCAGTATCGACACTCAGGCCTCTATCTGAGTGCAATACTGCCAACCCACAAATTAGTGGCCTTTAAACCGCTGGAAAACTTAAGACATGTTCTCTTCTCAAGCCATGGAACACACCTTATCTGAAAATTAGAGGGTACAAGATACTGGTTAACACAAACTGTATAGTTAAGGTAGTAGGTCTCTTGCACCTTAAAATATATTTCACAAAAATGAAAAGCAGAAATACATGCTGATACTGGCCAAATAAAGGTCAAAACAGGTATATGAACCGACTGCTAAATCCTAGAGCTGTGTCCGAATGATGATCAAAGAAGAGAGGGTTATTCTGATGACTGAATTGATTTAGGTATTAACTTTTCTATTTATCTTTCTGAAATTCTAATCATTGATCCTAGCAAAAGAGAAGATCGTATATATAATAGATATAATCTTCAAAAATATTAATGACAACACAGAATGGAGGCAAGTTCACCTTGTCTAGTGCTACTGCAGCAAAGACGATTGTCATCTATGTAAGTTGCCTGGACACCCATTATCCAGGACCCCACCGATATATCATCATGCGCATAAGTCTTCAAAGATGCACTGCATGTAACATAAGCTAGCTGAGGTAAAGTTCAAATTCATTCAGACATTTTAAGCAGCTTAAGTCACATTCAATGGGAGCAAGGAATAGTTCATGGCACGAAATTTTCAAACTGAGTCTTGGACTATGTTCAGCTTTGCATGCAAAGGAAAGCGATTAACAAAACAGATATGGATTTAGCTTATCAGCCATTCAGTTTCTAACATATAAATACTCTGCAGGTAGACCACCCTACTCCAACATGATTAGAGGTTCTTATAACACCCAAATTGTATTAATCACTAATGTTGAGACACCATAGTTTCTTTTCAGTTTAAGAAATTCAAAGTAGAATGTGTCTCATTCTCTCCAAGTTATAGCATCAATAAATAACAACTAACCTGTTTACGTTGATGTACTGAGCAAGATTTTTGGAGAGTATAAGAAGTGAACCAGAGGCATGCCGAAAATACCTACACAGGAGCATAATTAATCAAGTTCCGTATACAGAAATTGAATTGTAACAGGTTATCATATTAAAGAGAATTGAACCCCTTTGAAGGAAGATGCCACTTGAACGACACTGTATTATGGATACAAGGACAGTAGGAGCATGTACAACAACCAAAAATTTACAAAGTTCATTCACTTTGAGTGTTCTTACATTTAACAATTATGCAGCTACAGAAAGGGAAAGAAAAGAGAATAGTATGAAAACCACATAAAGTACAAATAAAGTAGTGCACTCATCCACAAGCTAGATAACTTACGATTTCTCATCCCCAAACTTCCACCATTCAGGTTCATACCAAGGCCTTCCCCTGAAATCAACAAAATTTAGGTACTTAAAAGCTGAACTCAGAATCTTAGGAAGCACCTCAAGCTCAAAATACCATTTTAAAACAATAATAACCTCCAAGATTTCGTTTGGAATAGCAACAGAATGAACATTCAATGATTAATAAACAAGAATGTAGACATGCTACAATCAGCAAAGGAACACCTACGAAGAAAAAAACAGGTAAAATTTTTACGTACTCATAGATGCATTATCAATATATTTACATCTGAGTATGAATAATATTTTCTAGCTTCTAAATGGGGATCTTTTTTTTTTTTGGAGAAGATAGCACTTGGTATAAGCAATTGAAGGAATTCGAAAAATGTATAAAATAATAGCATTAGGTGCATGTTGAGAGCCATCTTGGATAAACAGATTTCAATAACGAAAGAAGACAAAAATAAGTACATACTCTTCAACAATCACTTCTCCTGACTTCATGCATCCAATATAAGCACTATCTTGGCCACGCCGTTGTTCAAGAAGTCCAATCAATCCCTCTGTCAAGTAGAAAAAATAGTAGATGATATATTAGAGTTCCAGTGAATAGACAGAAATAAGCCAAAAGCCAAAAAGTTGTGATATCCTATACAAATGAAAAGGCAGAAGTCCTACCAAGTTCAATGTCAATATTATCATCAACTTTGACGTAAAATTCTGCATCCCAATTTTGAACTGCAGCACTGAAGAAGAATTTTGCTTTCTTAGGAAGCTCCTCTTGTGCCTCCTCATGACCATCCTGATAAATCAACATGAGGCAAGCATGTTACAGAATCTATGTTTTAAGGCAGTCGGATTACAATAAGCAAGTGGAAAGAGAAAATTTCATAAAAACCAAAGTCTTGCATCTAATTACAGAAATATTCTGATAAGGTCTAGCCACCAATGCAGACGAAAGGCTCAGCATTCATGCAGGATATCTAGGCCTCAAAGCAAAAGTCAATAATTTGAATTTGCAGACATATTCAAATTCTGTCACTTACAAGAATAAAGAAATCCTTTGTCTTACGGTTTTCCTCATCAATATTGCGATCCAAGCTATCACCTCGATTAGCACTACCAATTTCAAAGTAGTTAATCCTATTAGTACCCACCAATTGCAGCATTGTTGATAGCAGAGGAATGAAATCGAGCAAAGAAGAGAAATAATCCATATAAAAACCATGAGAACGCAATAAGGATTGAAGAATATGGAAATACCTCCGACCAATCACAAATCGTATCACAACCCCTCTTTCCTCCATCTTTTTTAATGCATCACCTGTCAAGACCAGAAGAGTGTTAATACTATATGGTTTCTACAGCAAAGTATCTGTCCAAATATATATTAAAAGTAATATGAAACTAATCATGTCAAAACTGCTATGTTAATGCAACAGCACACTAGTAGAAATACTATCAAGCACCAAAAAAGAGAGGACAGCCAATAGAAAATCTAAAATCAAGTTTTAAACTATTACAAACCAGCATACTCACCTCTAGGCATCCAAGATCCCCTAAATGTATTTCGTTTCAAGTGACTACCAAATCCAGTATAAACTCCAATAACTGCAAGAAGCTTTTGATCTGAAGACCCACGTTGTCGCAACTGGTGCTTCAGGTATCCTTGACTCTTAGCTAACGTCAAATCCATCTCTGCTTCTACAATCCTCCTCTCTAGATCCCTAAAAATCAAATTCATTATTTCAAATGACAGCACAATGGAAAAAAAAAAAACAGCAACAGTCATATTAGACTATAAAAATTGTAAGACAGAAACTCAGAATGAGAATTGAGGAACATACTTGCATCCTAGGACCATCAGCTTATCTTCGACAGTAAGAACCTTTGGTCTCTACCAATATGAAAACAGAAACATCAGAGGGAAAATACTTATTTAAATCTTACTAAACAGGTGATTAGGTTGTTGCAATAATCTAATAAACAGACATCTCTTATTTTACCAACAAATAGAAACAGAGGAAATATGCTAAGACCAGGAGGATTTGTATGGCTTCTGAGTAGTACAAAAACAAGGCAGAAAGAAACCTGTTCAATGTTCTTCTTAAGAAGATTAGCAAGCAATGTTCTGTTCTCTGCATCTTGCCACAACCTAATTTTCACCAAATTTTCGCAAAATAAATAAATAAATCAGCATAATTAATCAATTTGTTAGCTACGGAAATTGACAAAAACAAAAAGGCAATAATTAACACAAATTTTAGGCTGAATTGGATGAATATAAATTTGGATTCTTTGATTCTTTTTTTTCCAAATATAATCCGAAATGAAAAACAAATTCCATGAAACTGACGCAGTGGAATTAAGAATTAAGAAGGAAAAATGGAGATATAAGAAATTACGAACCGGCCAGCAACGTAGAGCCAAGCGACGCAAGAGAAAAAGGCCATCACCAAAGAAGGCTTGGATGTCTGTAGATTCTTCGATCTCCATCGTCTCTCCGCTTTCGTCGACGTAGGTAAACCCTCCATCTCACACTAACACAGATTACAAGATCAAAGCAGAGATTTTACTGCTGTCTAATCTCCAATTTTTAATTACAATGATCGAGTGAGAGAGAATGAGAGCTCAGTGTAGAGATTCAAGTCGACTGTGAAGAATTCAAGGAGAATCAGAACAACAGAAACAGACGAAAATTTGAACTGAAATTTTGAAGGAAAAGAACAGGGAGAGCGATCTGGCTGCAAAGCGGTTACTTCGAGGAGGAGGAGGAGCCCAGTAAACTGAGTCTTACGGGCTAGGCCCGCTTGCCTTAATTATTTTCAAATGAATTTGGTCAATTGCTGTACATGGAATCTTATGTGAAATTTGGTAACGCTTTCCAGAAAATGAGCCGGCTAGTGTACAGTTATGGTTGGTAGAACTGTAATTTGAAGATTACCAATTTCGGAAAGGTAATTATCATCTATTGATGGAATCGAACATTCAAAAGTGAAAAGAATTTTCTGTTATTTTTAAATCAAATGTTTGGATGTAAATAAAAAAATAAGTTAATTATTATTGTTCAATTCTGAGATATAAAAAAATATGCTACACATTATTATTAAATCCAATGTTCAAGTAATTTGCCAAGTGTTTAGCACTTTAGGTGCAAAAGGAGATGTATGCCTTAATGCAGCCCACATGCAATCTTTAGTTACAAAACAGTTCATTGGCTTTAAAAGTTTCATGCTGTCGGAAAGGCATCAACAGGGCAAACAATGAGTATTACCTACTCTTCAAGCAAACAAAAATCATGATGGTCTATAACAAAATTAATAGACTTCTTTTCGACATCAGAGCATCAAAATGAATAGATGTTAACAGAAGTTAAATCCCCGAATGTGTTCTACAAGGTAAAACCATATAATCTTCTGAGATGCCCCAAGGAGTGGAAGGGTATCCATTCCTTCAGCAGTAAAACAATGGGTATTAGTGTAGAAGATCATCCAGCTTGACAGAATGGAGCCCTCTGACAACATTGTTCGGGCCTCTCCTCCCGAATGCTGAACATAAAGTTCATGGTTCCAGCTCAAATACTTAACTCCTACCGCCTCCTGGTAACAAGCTAGCCAAAGAGGGAACCCCTTGGTTTCTCATTTCTTCTTGTGCTCGCCTCATTTCTTCAGGATCTGTTGCCAACAGAATAGGTTGATAAAATTAGTAAAAGTGTAATTACTAGCTTTCATTTTTCTTTTTCCATCTCAGGTTAAGAAAGGTGGGATAGAAGCAAATGCCCAAGGAAGTTTGTATTGCATCCTAAACAGTTATATTTGGAAAAAATGAACACCAGCTCATATATCCTTCACACAGTCAGAGAACAGGCAACATAGTAGAATTTAGCTAAACCAAGAAAAATCAAACATTATACAGGCAAGTAATAAATCAGCTTGCTACTCTCGACCAAAGTCAACTCATATAAATCTATCACGAGTCAGAACTTCAACAAATCCACCAAGTCAGAACTTCAACAAATCTACCAAGTTATGAACTAGTAATAGAGTACTTTACCCATGTTTTCCATTAATTTGGGCATTAAAAACACCACAACCAGCATAAATCCCACCATGAGACCCATTGGGCTTTTCACAATAGACATTATGGAGAAAGGTTCTCTAATCTGCAACAAAGTAGGATATAAATATGAGGCAAAGAATAAAGAACAACAAAGAACAGAAGGAACATAAACATAAATAGCAAAAGGTTCGTCAACCTCATAATACTGTTCTTCTCTCAATGGCTCTAGAACCAATTCACTGAGACCCCTCCTGCTCTCCGTCAATGCTGCCTGTACCTTGCCTGGGTTTCTAGCACTAACATCAACTCTAACCTAAGCAAGTTTCAAAGAAATTATTGCTATGGTAAAAAACACCACAATAACTTGATCAAAAGTCAAGAGGCTCAGGCAAGAAATAAAAATCTTACTGGAGAAAAGAAATAGCCTATCGCAGCCACTTCAATCAAATGAGTCCCTGCTGCCACATTGTGACTTTAGGCATTTATATTAAGGAATCATAATACTCCTGAGGAATGGTTTACTACCATTCATTGGATACAGTATCACTGTATGTCATTTTCTACTTACAGAAAAACAGTATTGACAGGAGAAAGAAAGAAAAAGTATAAACTAAAAGATATGAATTTCCAAACAGAGCTATGCATTAGAATTGATAAAATATTAGGATACAATGAAAAATATCCATCAGGTCTCAGAAAAGTAACGTTTTGGCCACCATTGAGTATAACTTTGACATTTGACATTTTTCCAGGCAAAGCAAACCCTTTTGTACCCAGACCTGCCAAATAAAGTCATCAATCATCTGTGCAAAATTAAAACAAACAGATAACATATCATTAAAGAAATAAACAGATACATAGAGAGATACAAAAAATGTGGTTGTATTGATTCATGCTACATTGGAGACTACAATAACATCACGTTGAAGAAGGATTAACAAATATCTACCTTTCAAATATATCATCTGCACCGAGGTTAAAAGGTTCTATTGGACAAATTGCATCCTTTACCAAAACCTAGAATGAGATAGAGTTCCATCTTGCATTAACTACATCTATTGACTAATGGCCTGAAAAATATATAGCCTAAGCCTTATGGTAACATTGAAGGGACAAAAAATAACACGGAACAATAAGAATTTTGATGTAAGTCTTACTCAAACAGTCCTATAAAAAATTCACAAAATACAAAGGCTTCTGCGAAGTTGCATAATAAATCACCACTGATTTACAAATAGCAAATCAGAACTTTATGCATATATACTAAAACTGAGACAAGCATTATCACAGTAAAACACCATATTAGAATGTAACAAAGATCGAAAACAGCCAAAATCACCATATAATTATATAATTTTGCATAAAATCAGTACAAATTAGTCAAATTTAAAAACTAAAAAGGGGATAATACCTTGGGGGATCTTCACTCGACCATTGATGGTGAACCCATCACCAGAACTGCCAAAAACAGATAAACAAACAAGTGATGAAGCTAAAACCAAATAAAAGATCCATTTACGAGAGAGGAAATTAATTCAAAAACGATATACTTTTACTAAGCTCAACTCAACCAGCTGTCTAATGATGATAAAGTCGCTAAATTCAATTCCTATTCAAGAAATCTAAAGTTCAAAAGAATTCAATCAGCTTTACCTTTTTCAGCAATCAAACAGAAACTTAGAATTAGTAAAAAAAGCGAAGGCAGTGCAGATAAAAATTCGTACCCAGATGAAATAGCGAGTGCCGTAGAAAGAAGCATGAAAAGCAATAACATAACCGGTTCGAATCGGGGGATCGACGCCATGGCAGCTGAGGTTTGAGAGCTTCGACGGTAGATGAAAACTATGAAAGAAACAGCTCCCGGCTTTCCCAGCTTTTGGAGATTCGTTGAACTTTATTGTTTAAAGCCTGCTCAGTTGGGCCGATGAATTAATCTGGACCCTTCATCTTGAGTTGGAACTGGCCCATGATTTGGGCTTATCTAAAATCTGCAGAGACGAATTTGCATTTTACTTCCTTCCCAAAAAAAATTCTTTTTATAGTATTTTTTGAAAATAAAATTTTATTTAGTGAGAGAGACTTCTTATTTAAATAATTTAAATTTAAATTATAATTATTTTTACCACTTTATATTTAAAATGAAATCATTTGTCACAGGTTATTATAAATTGCTACTATTTTACTGATATGCCTAACATTTCTTTTATGAGTGTTGAGGAGACACTTTGGTATGATCCAAAGGTTAAAAAAAAATAGGGAGAAAAAAACAATAAATCTTTCGATTAAAGAGAATATCTTACAATTAAAGGCTCAATGCCAAAACAAACCATGAATCAAGACACAATGAGGATTTCTTCTTTTTCCTCAACAAGCTAGGCAAAAAAAATAACAAAAACAAAAAATACAAAAGAAAACACAAGAATTTCCATTTACAAGATTGATTATGGTAGAACATTGCTTTCATCCTTTTCCCATACAAACCATAGCTTGAAGGAAGTTTATACAACAAATATGTGGAGATAATGGCTCCTGACAAAGAATGAAGATGGTCTAATTAAGCTAATATGATTCCCACAAATGCTACAATCCCAGCTTTCTTGAGAACCAGTCTGAACAATTAGCTATTACAAATCCAGCAAACACCTGCAGTGCACCATAAAAGAATGTAAAAGAGATTAAACACAGTGTCACACAATATCTAATAAACCACATCTATTTGGACAGTTGAATTACCTGAGCTGACCCAAGAATGTAAATTGCAGAGTAGTGACGGCCATGAATGACCATGTCAGCCACCATCGCAAGAGGGATGGTAAGTGACATGCCCAATGTGGCTACCAGAGGAGTTGTCCATACAACACATAATGCCCTAGGGAGGACAGGAAATTTGGAGAAAGGTTAAAAATGCATGAAATGAAGAAAATATAGAGGGTAGGTGAATGAAGTACTTGGGAAAAGGATGCATACCAAAAATAATCGGAGAGGACACTTCCAACGAAGCCATTTGCAAGGACTACTTCATCCAATTTAGCAGAGTGTGGAATTGTAAATTTGGGTTCTATTCCCAAGGCTGTCAATGGCCAAACTGAAACAATGGTTTTAAAGAAACAATTAGTTTGCTAATTAAATGTCCAGATGTACTCTTCAGTCAAGAGTGAATGGCTTGTAACAAGAATTTAGAAACAAACTTCAATGACTTATTCATAAGAATATTGATTCTCAAACGACTCTTACCAAGCCACCATAGCGCTACAAGTGTAAACAGTCCTATGTATCCAAATAACTTTTGAACATCAACCCTTTCTCCTTCCTCACCTGCAAACTTTTTAAGCAGCACTGCAACATAATTGAAAAATGGAAGACAAGATGACAATTTGCCAAAAAATGGTAGAAGAACAGATAAATAAATCAAATAAGAGAATCAGCCAAACCTGTAAATAGCCCATATGACATGGCTGAGAGGAGGCCAAAAAGATCACCAGCAAGAGAGCGTTTCCCATTGCTAAACACAAACATCAACTGTCAATGTCCAAAACATACATTACAAAGAGCAAGCTAGCAGGAAAAAACTAACACTAACAACATATCTGATGAAATACATAAGAACATAATAACTGCATGCATGATGTAGTTATAGCCAAATGAAAGTATCATGAGAAAATGCTTAATTACAATATGGAAATGCTTTTAGGCCATGTGATTTTTTGGCCAAATGAAAGAGATCTTCCACAGGATAGAACTTAATTATCACTTTTGATATAGTAATAGTGAAAGTCCTGCAGCTTATGAAAGCAGGCAGGAAAGAGCTGAATGATAAAAGAAAGCAATTCATCACAGAGCTTTTCTTCACCACAAGCCAGCAAAATGTAGCAGAAAATCATAATGTTAACCTGAAATGCTTTAAGGTACTCCAGGAACTTGTAAAAGGGATTGTGGAGGAAGTGTATAAACCACTAACCCTCTTCTTTGAACTATAGTGGCTTTGGCTGCACTATTACTTACATGAAAGCAGCAATACCAACTATAAATCAAAAGTGTATAAACATAAATGTCTAGATACATGCATGTATATTTCTATACTTATTGCATAGGGTTCTATAAAGGCAACACAGTCCTGCCTAAAAAGAATGCCAAGAATATGCATGTTGAGACATTCAAGATAAAATGAACTTACGATGAGGAACCTATTGAATCATCAGCAGCCCAAGTTTTTCCCAGAGTGGTCATCGCAACACCAGCCATGCTGACAAAGACTGCAACCACCTTTGCTACATTTAATGAATCTTGGCCCAGAAAAGCACCAATAAAAAGCGTAAAAAGTCCTGAAGTTGAGGACAGCACTGTTGTACTTGCTACACTTGTCCGTGCAAGAGCAGCATTTGATAAATACTGCAAACAACCAAAAAGCATTAGCAATAACCCTCTTAAGTTCCTTTGCATAGAAAAATGATTCAATATCCAAAAATGTGAAGAATATTTCCCAGAAAAACTATTTTATCAATGCAAAAACTACCCTTTTGAGGGAGAATCCTTTGCTTTATTTACGAAGTGACAAAACCAAAAAGGTTTGCATATTCAATGCACAAATTTGAGGCTAAAACTTTAACAGAACAAAAGAATGTGAAAAGAAAAACCAAATCCTAAAAATGCTTCCAAATCACTAATTACCTCTGTCACAAACCAGATAGGAGCAATATAAAATCCAAAGGTAGCAATCTCCCTCGTGGTAAGCTCTTTGTCTTGTTTCAGAAAGTGCACTTCATCTTTGTTTTTGGGAACCAATGGCCTTCCCTCTACGTGAGGTGAAAGATCTGCATCACTGTCTTTCCTAGCCAAAGTCACTTGAGGTTCCATTTCATATATTTTGTGCCTTAGAGGAGAACCAAGCTCAATAGATGAGACATCTATGCTGTCTACATCTTTAACAGTTTTCGAAGAACGATGTCTTAGCAAGTTACATAGCCAATCCTTAATAAACGCTATTGGAAGGTAAATTACCATAAGCGAAGCTCCAAGATATGTAACCGCAAATGGCTGCTTATAGTCAGTAAAGATATCCTGGGGACAAGATATCAATTAGTTTGAATTCAAACTAGCTTCAAAATATTGTAATGCATTTTAGAATTATGATAATATGTAAGACTTCTGAGTTTTGAAAGAGAAAACAAACAATAACCAAAAATAGTTATTTCTATTCAACCTACGCAGAAGTATGAACAACCTTCATGGGATACATAGTACAAGGACACCTACACGAAGATCCTCAGAATCGCAACAGATATTATAAATGCATGCCTTCTTCACTTGGATACATCAGACAGCATATTCAGCTAAAAAGACCTGAACCTTTACAGGATTAAAGGACATAAAGTAGCACAAGAGACAATGATCATTGCATATGTCACTTGAATGCTGCATGGATGAGCTTGGAACAACTGACTACGTGAAATAAGATCAAATGCTATTCTTTCCTGACAACCATTTAATAACTTATTCCGCCATTCAAAAATTAAATAACCCAGAAAGCCCATGCTTTGCTATATAAGCCCCTGCCCCCGTTTAATGATGAATATGCAAACATATAATGAATTAATTTGCAGAACAAGTAAGACCTCTAACAAACATATTGCTCTCCATTCTCCTCATTTCCCCAAAGAATATTTTGCCAAAAAAAAAAAAAACTAAAACGTTCAAATATTCACGATATGTCAATTGCAGCATCCCAAACCAATACAGAACTACAAAATGAATTAATTAATCAAGAACGTGAACAAATGCATATTTCTGGATATGTTAATTAAACTTAACAAATGGAATCCAAAGAACCTTAATAAAAAAAATGGGAATTCGGAAACTAACCTGGGTTACTTCTGCAGAGGTCACCCATATAACAACAACCGTACCTATCAAGAACAAGCCAGCCTTATACCTCCAACCCATTAGAAATCAGACAAGACCCAGATTCAGAAAAACCACAGGGATTTCAAGATCTAACTGTTTCGACCAGATCTTCTAAGCAGGTCTTTGTGGCTTTTGACCTGCCACCGACACGTTAATGTACGATCCAAGAGGGCGTAGGATTCAATGTTGAAGCTTCAGAAAAAAAGAGAAAGGCCAAGAGACAGAAAGAGAGAAAGAGAGAGAGAATTGTGGGGCGGCTGGTAAGTAGCCAAGAGGTGGGAGGAGGATTCTTTGCAAATTAATAAAAAGCCAAAAGATCTTGTTAAGAAAGAGAGGGAAGGATTTCAAGACAATTTTCCTTTTTTTTTTTTTTTGGTGCCAAAGTGAGAAAGAGTTTTTTGGTTGTTAATAATTTGACTCAATTTAATTCCTTTCAATTCCCTCTTTTCTCTCTCTTGCTTGCCGCCACTCGCTTCCTCTCTCCGACGTGTCTCTCATTATCACACTTTGTTCCTTTCACTTAACACCTCAGCATAAAAAATTTGTAAAATAAGATTTATTTTCTCATTTTTAAATCTTTATTCTTATTTTATTTTCACAAAATTAAAATTTTAATATATTTTATATTAAAATTTAAAATCTTTTATTTATACAAAATAAATATTCAATACTTTTTTATATAAAAAGATAAAAAAATCATAAAAATAATTATAATATAAAAAAAATCTTATTTCAATGTAATACAATTTGCATTCAGATTTATAATTAAAAAATAAAAATAAAAATATTTAAAAAATTATTTTTAAATATCTTAAAAATATAAAACAAAGGTACCACAACTACTACTACATTACATAATGTATTAAACCTGATTTGATTTATAATAATTAATCTAAGAATTAAATACCATTTTTTTATAAAAGTAAAAAAAATTTAAAAAAAAGGTATAGTGTTAACTAGTACTATATGAGGAAATCTTAAATTCATGGGATGGGATCCACTTTATTCTCCTGTAAATTTGAGAAAGTTAAAGCTGGAGCATCAATACCTTTCCTAATTAATCTATTACTATTTTTCTTCCTATTTCTTTCTCATGTCTTTAATTAATCTCTCTGTCATGCCTTCAATGCTGAGATTAATGAATTAATGTTACCATTGTTGTATTTACTAATGAATTAATATTCATGGAATTCAATGTGGAAGGAATTGATTTTCCTTATCTGTACATGCTAACATCATCTACTATTACAAAAACACGATTTTAACACTGAAAATTTTGCAGGGTCAATCATGAATAGACCTAAAACCAATGTAAATTAAGCACTTAAAAAGGATGTGTTCCTTAGCCAAATGTAGGGTTGCTTTGCTCTGTTGTTTTTTGTTTTTGGGATAAATCATTAGGGAATTGTTTGGTTGATGATGAGAAGGTTGGCACTAAGCATGCTTTCATGGTTGGTATTATGACATCAAAGGGGAGGGGGGACTCTGCTCCAATGTGGTCACCAAATGGCAGTAGATATATGGTATTGGTAGGTGTGCTATAGCTTTTGCCAGGATGCAAGTTGCCTTTTTTCTTTAATTTGTTTTGGTTGGTTTCTACCAAACTTGCAAAAGGAGCTCCTCTTGAAAATTCCTATTTCTCTGGATTTTATGCAACCTGGTTTCCTCCATCCATCACATTCCATGAGTCCACCCAATAAGGTAACAAATATGAATGAAAACGGATTGCAGAAGCTGTCCTGAAAACAGATAATGTTTCCATTAGGCTTTGTTAATGGACAATTTTTAAAATGATTAACACCATTATTATCAGAGTTTGATCCCTTGATCACATTAAGACAAAATTATCCAAAAAGCAGATGATGTTCCCGGTATACGTCGTTAATGGACCATCTTAACAGGATTAACACAATTATTATACATGTTTGATTCTCGATCACATTAAATTACATGAATAACCCATTGACAGACTTTTTTCATTTTTGCTGATTGTCTATCATGATTTTAACAATTTGTGATGAGTTAATCATTAAACTAGAAAAAATTGTGTCCTAAAGGACTCAACTGTCCAACTACTAACATGGATCAGCTTGCTTTGCCTGTTGAGAAAGTCAAAGTCATCTGGTTTTTAAGGTGTCAGCTGAATCTGTAAGACTGGACCCCGTATAATCGGGTCATGAGTTATGTCCACCAGAAGGAATTAGGATTGATGAAAACTTAGGAAACCACGTGAAATTGTGAAGAAGAAAGGGTCTAAATTACTCTTTAACAAAATTCCATTTCACAGAAAAACAAAAATCGATATTCTTTTCATTCCAAGGCAAATGTTGGAGGTATATTCATGAGTAAATTCATGCTTGTGAAACGTTTTTCCTGCTTTTCCAGGCTAAAAAATTGTGCTCTCAGAGTTAAAAATCACTGTCCCCTGCATCCTGAAATCTGCATTCCAACTAAATAAATGGATTACAATATGTATTTCTAAGATGGGATTTCCCCTTCAGTGAAAATCAGGGGATCCTGGGTCAAATAGTTTATGACATTACACCAGATCAAATAATTTAATTCAAGGTGAGGAACCCCATAACACCTCTGCAACAATAATAGCAGACTCTGCCTCAGAAACAGAGGCTTCTCTGACTCTCCTCAAGATTTCTAACTTAAATTCCCTCCTCTCCTTGTTACTTAGCATTTCTCCTACTTCTAATTGCACTGCAAAGCTGGCAACACAGTTTTCAAATGGAAAATTCCCCACATAATCTTCCTCATCACTTTCTATTTTTGTTTCTGATTTTGTACCTTCTTCATTAGTTGTTCTGTTTTCATTCCCATTGCCATGATTTTCCAGTCTCTGCAACTCTACAAGCTTCTCAACTAACCCTGCTCCAAGCATTGCTTCAATTGCTTCTCTTCTCCCATAATATGCGATTCCAAGTATGCAATCTATGGCTGCGACTTGGATTGACACGTTTTCTGAGCTCAAGAGGCTTATAATTCTTGGGATTTCTGTGTATGCTTCTAGTTCATCAACCAGAGGAATTCTAATAAACTTGACTAGCAAAGAAAGAACTCGAATGGAACAACAAGATGACATTGATATCAAAGCTCTAACTGTTGGACCCATTAGCACCAATCCTACAAACACATCTTTATTGAATCTAACCAATGCGGCTATTGCAAGTGCTACCTGATCTTGAATTCTTATCGAACATGAAGAGTCACAGAGTAAGAGTTCAAGAGTCAGGAATACTTTGGCTTTCAAAATCAAATCTTGAAAATAAAGATCAAAACCTTGTGACAAACGCTTCTCAAACTCAATCAAAACCTCCACTTTCTCATCCTCATCATCTGAATCTTCCAGTGTCTCCACAAGATTCTGAACGTTTTCTCGATCAATATAGCCTTGGATTTCAGTCTCCATTGCACAAGCAACTTGGTAAATCTTGTAGTTGATGATTTGGCGTCTGAGGATGCATGGCAGGCTATAACCCTGATACTTTTGAACCTTTTCAAGCAGGGTTTTGAGGTTGCAAAGTAGCTGGGAGAGCTTGAAAAGATTAGGGTCGTTTGCAAAAACAGTGTTTTCGCTCTTTTCAAGGTCTAAGAAAGGTTCAATGGTGGATTGGGTTTTCTTTGTTGCAAAGATGGGGTTTTGCTGTAGATCTTTTGAAGCTCTTTGAAGGGATTTCAGCAGTGTGAATAGCTGTCGATCGTCTTGGTTTGGTGTTTGATCCATTGCTGGAACACGGCGTAGATTCGAAGCTTAGTACCTGTGGTTTAGGGAGGGAGGGACAGAGGACAGAGGCCAGAGATCAGAGCCAAACTCAGAGAACTTCAAACCCCAACTACCAGTCCAAACAAACAGTTATAACCAAACCTTCAAAGTGTTTTCATGGAGGGCAGAATTTTCCTCGTCTGATCCTACAACATTTTCACAGTTTCCATACAATTTCTTAGCCATCAATAAACGACACTTCCAATCCAATTTGATGTCCGTGAATTACTGGTTGGGACCAAACTTACAACTTCGTGGCTGTGGGTTTGCCAATTATTTTTCCATTCCTCTCAATACTAGTGTATTTGGAATTAAATACGTACTCATGCATTTACGTATACATGTATGTAATTTAAAATGAAAATACTAATACTTAAATATAATTAATAACATTTTTTGTCGGTCCAAAAGAATTAGACATGTCACTTCAATTACATATAAAAATATTCATATTATAATTTAAATATTGATTTTAAAAATATTTTTTATATGTCTAAATTCTAAAATTAAAAAAAATTATTATCAAGAGAGATCATTGTCTGGTCACGTGACAAGTAAAATAACTTGTCACATGTGAATTAATAATTCCTCTCAAAAATAAATTTTATATATAGTATAGATTATGGTTAAAGATTTAAATTATTATTTTTTGATATGCCTGTTATATAATATTTGATGAAATAAATTCGATAATTTTATTATTTTTTCATTCTTTGGTTGAAAGTTAAAGAAGGGTCGAATATTTTCTGATTTGGACTTTAAATCAAGATTAAGTAAAAGTACTCATTTACACATTTTAATCAAGATAAATTATATATAAAGAGATATTATTATTATTAAAAATATTAAAATATATTAATGTATAGTTAATTTGTTTAATAAATTAGATTGTAAATTTTAAATAGAAAACTCGGTCTTATAAATTAAAAAAATCTATACTCTTAATTGATTTAAGATCTAAATTAAAATAATTAAACTGAATTAATCAATTACAATGGATTGTTTCGATTTCAAATGAATTCTAAAGAGTCTAATTAATTGGTCTTGGTCGAGTCAAAGAGTCACCGACTCACCGTGACATAACAGCACAACGACGCTCCCTGCTATCTTACGCTAGAAAACGTCACTCCCTGCTATCTTACGCTTCCATATTTATATAAGCAGTTTTAAATATTAAAAATAAAAAACAAGAAATAGCAAACCTTGAAAACCGTCAACGACCTCCCGACAGATTTCATTTCCCCCGACTCCCCATCTCTCTCTCTCTGCAACATTTTTCTTACAGGTAACTTTCTCTCTCTAGCCTTTTACTCTTTGTCTTTACATGTAAAATCAAAGTTCCGACTTGTATTCGGGGTTCTAGTTGTTTTCTTTACTGACATTTTCATTCTTCAGCCTTTCATTCGTGATTCTCTCTCTTTGTTGAGGAAGTAAGCTCTTTTGCTCGTTTAGATATATGGTTTTTTGTTTCCTTGTTAAATTCGATTTGTTCTTGTAAATTCTGGTTGGATCTTTCGTTTGAAAATCTGGGTCAGTTTAATAGATACGGTTTCAACAAAGAATGGCATCGGTTTCGAGCTTCACCGACTTTGTTGACTTGATCTTGATGTTCCATTTTGAGTGCCGTGAAAATCTAGGGAAAGATAATGAGTCTAAATATGAACTCCGTTCTCAAACATTTTGAATTTTCCCTGATTTTTTTTGGTTTCCCATTTCTGATAAATGTGGTTTAGATGACGAGTGATTTGCTTACTAGGCTTCTGCATTGCAGAAGATGTGATAAAGTTGATAGATCACAGGCAACTCATTTATTCTTTTTGTTCTGTTTTTAATTTTTGAATTATAGATTTTTTCTTGTGTTTGATTGATTCTATTTTCTTATCAGATTTGAACAAATTGGAGTTGCTTCAGAGCTTGATTCATGAACACAGAACAGTGGTGCTGATGGCCCCCGGTGTGCAGTTCACATTGTTCCAACTTTTGCTCACATTGTTTCTTATCCTAGACTTGGTGAAAAAGGGAGGTGCGGGAATTACAAGTACTTTTACTCGCTCTCAGTGGCAATCTTTTGATATTCCTCTTGACAACAAAGTATTTGCTATTCCTACTGGTTACAATGCTCCACAGCAAGTAAGTTTTCACCATTTCTAATCCCACCGTTGTAGCAATTTACTTCAAATTACAAAAATGTGAATGATTACAGAGAAAGGAAAACTTAACTGTGATGCAAGAAAGGAAATATTTTAGTTATTTAAAGAGACTAGGGTAAGTGTTATTTGCTAAAAGTTTGTTGATATGATTCCAGCAAACATTTTGCTTTTTTCACAATCTGGATTAAATTATGATGCTAACCACTGATGGGCAATGGTCTATCTGCATCCAAGTCGGCTTCCTACCGATCCAATCAACATGTTGGTTTTTCACACTTGTTGTTTGAATGAATGAGGCTGAAAGGGACGGTTATGATGAATACTGAGATTTTATCAATATGAAAAACATGATGGCTTTGTTTTAAATTCTATAGAAAGGACATTCTTAGAAGAGTACAGTTTTCTTGATGTGCATTGCAAGAATACTCTTTAAGAGCATCTTTATCAGTGATGATATTTGGAGCTGTAGAGTTTAGGCCATCTATAATACTTTTTCTATGTATGTAACTACAGCTGCAGTAATCAGCTTCACCAAGCGGGTATTTTAACTTCATTAGATTTATTGATGTAGGTGCGTATTACTCAAGGTGACTATGATGGAAAGGCTGTAATAATCTCATGGGTTACAGCTGATGAACCAGGGCCTTCCAAAGTCCAATATGGCACATCAGAAAAGAAATATGACCTTAGTGCAGATGGCAAAGTGACAAATTACACCTTTTACAATTATAAATCTGGCTATATTCATCACTGTCTTGTTGACGGTCTAGAGGTAAGCATAAAAAAACATATGATGTTATCTATAACATGAATATCAAACTAGATGACTCTAGCATAAAGCACAAATACTTGAACAATCATCAAACATTTCTACCTCAAACTGGATCTGCTGCAGTGTGCTTATGAAATGAATCTAACATCCAGATGATGAGTATCATATTTCATCTTTTGAAGTTGCTGCGGATAGTTCTATTCAATCTTTATATATATTCAATTGATGTTAGAATTTATGCTAAGACCACTAAGTGTCTTTTCTTTTAGTATGAGACCAAGTACTATTACAAGATTGGATTAAGTGCTTCTTCTCGAGAGTTTTGGTTTCAAACGCCTCCAAAGATTGACCCAGATTCTCCGTTTACATTTGGAATTATTGGTAAGATGTTACTAGAATATTTATCTACATAATAATGAATAATCTTGTTTTTAGTGTTCAAATGGAAATGGTATATGATTATTCATGTTTGTTTTCCAAATGGATTCTTTTGAGACTCCCAAAACAAAATAGACTAGCTACAAAAACAGATTCCTTAATTGCAAAAAACTCTTTTTCCCGAATTTTCTCATCCTAAATTGGTTTTGTATATTATAGGTGATTTGGGTCAAACATATAATTCTCTTTCCACTCTGGAGCATTACATGCAGAGTGGAGGTCAGACTGTCTTATTTGTTGGTGATCTCTCTTATGCTGATAGATATCAATACAATGATGTTGGTATTCGATGGGATTCATGGGGTCGCTTTACTGAGAGAAGCACTGCTTATCAACCATGGATTTGGTCAGCTGGGAATCATGAGATAGAATACATGCCAGATGTGGTAATGCTTGAGTTCTGCATCTTGAATTTCTTATCTATATACATCTCTTGCCTTTCTTTTGAACTCTTTTACTTTAATGTATATTCAATTATATGTGGCATTAATACTTTTTCACGTATTATGAATTCGGATATTCCCTCCTCAGTCCTTTCCTGATATACGAGTCATAATAATTGTTTCCTTTTCTGACTTTATAATCTTATATGTATACTCATTAAAACCAATGTATTTTATGCACTTACTTCAGAAATAAAGATAAAAGATACCTTTTTGAAGAATGGAGCTTGTTTCTTTCTTTTTAATAATATCTCCTACATTAATTCAGCTAATGAAAGTTTTGCTTTTTCCTTTTGGGTAAGAAAGCTACATAGATTGAAGATATCTAGATCATAGCTTATCTTCATCATTTTTCTTTTTCACGCCTATGCATTTTTTCCAGGGAGAAGTTATTCCATTTAAATCATACCTACATAGATACAGTACACCTTATTTGGCATCCAGAAGCAATAATCCTCTCTGGTATGCTATCCGACGGGCATCAGCTCATATAATTGTCCTATCCAGCTATTCTCCACATGGTAATACATCCTTTTAACCTGGCTTTGCTGGAGATATTCCAATTAACGATTTAAGTCACTGATAATGTTTTCATCTATGATTTTCTTGTTTAGTTTTAAACTTCTGTAAAATTGATGTTATATCAATTGCAGCTAGCGTATTTAGGAAATAGTTATGAAACCCACCATTGATGTTTCTTATTCAATCGGAAATTTTATCCATTTTTCTTTGACCAGTGAAATACACACCCCAATGGCAGTGGCTACGAGATGAGCTAAAAAGAGTGGATAGAAAGAAGACACCCTGGCTTATCGTTGTCATGCATGTCCCCATCTACAATAGTAACCAAGCTCACTTTATGGAGGGTGAAAGCATACGAGTTGTCTTTGAGCGCTGGTTTGTTCATTACAGAGTTGATTTCATCTTTGCTGGCCATGTCCATGCCTATGAAAGATCAGTATGTACATTCTTCCCTTTTAGTGCTGCTTCTTCCCACTGGGGTAAGGAGTCGATCATGAAATTGATTAGTATGAGTAATTTAGTGGTGACTAATACAAGTGATGTACCCTTAAGATAAGAATTGTTGCTCTTGATACCACCTTTACCCAAAATTTTTTTGAATCCTTGTACTTTAGAAAAAAGTATCATGAGTCAAATTAGCTTACTAATCAATCATTAGTCACTCTACATGATATCTTCATGGACTATGCTATTTTTTTTTTTTTCCAAAATCCATAGCCATCTCCCTTAACATTACATTGGTCATTGCTATCATGGGTTGAACGTCTAACTTGTTAGCTTTATTAGCTTTAAATTGATTATAGTTTTGAAATGACAATAATGATCAAAATTGCTTGAATGAGTTTTGCACTTTATTTATTTAACTTAAAAACTCCCATGCATTTGCTTTTGAAATGTCTAAGTACTTAACATAGTTTTAATGACATTACACTCTTAAATTTAGGGGTGTTATATCATCATCAAAAAAGGGGAGATGGAATATAGTAATGAATTTAAGCTCTTTCCTGCACACTTAAGTAACATAGTTAGACTTAAAGACTGAAGAATGTGTTGTTATTATCAAAAACATATGGAGTCAACATAACTAGCCTCCTCTTGCAGTCTAGCCTTTCAAGATCATAAAACAGGGGCAGGCACAGTCCCTCTTGGATTTCTACATCTGCCACTGATTGTAATACTCTTGGTTAAACAAAGGAAACTGAAATCTATAAAAAGAAAAGATGCTAGGTCAGAATATTGACCATAAGCCAATCCAAGAATGAGTAATTTGAAAAATTAACCACACACTGTGGTCTATAATCACTGAAGAATCACTTTTCCTCTGACCCTATATAATGTTTCTCCTGTTTCTCCCCTTAATCATATCTTCCTAAAAGCTTTAACATCCGATCAGCCATGCTCAAAATTTTTCTTGACAAAGAAATGGTGGCAATAACCTCATTTCTCTTTTCTAAATATCTAATTTGACATCATCAAGACATTACTCTATGTTCCATGGTTGGGAGGAAATAAAAGCTGGAGAACTGGATTGCTGAAAATCTTTAGAAACTGTGTTCCCATGAGACACCATCAGAACATATTGTTCCCCTAAGGTCTTGGCAGCCTATTAGTGTTCATGGTTAATGCTGTTTTTTATTGTGTCTTCAAGCATAAAGTAATTTTTGGTTGCAAATATAGGTTATCTAAAAATGCTGATGTTATTGATTTGCAGTATCGCATCTCAAATATCCGTTATAATGTATCAAGTGGTGACCGCTATCCTGTGCCTGACAGATCAGCTCCAGTGTATGTAACAGTCGGAGATGGAGGAAATCAGGAAGGTCTTGCTGGAAGGTAATCAGACATCAACATTTGAATATAAAAGTCTTATGTTGAAATGGAATATGATTTGAAAGTATCAAGTTGCCCAATAAATTTCTTTGGCATGCTTAACCCCCTTGCTGAAGTCCTTAGGTATTTGTAATTCACCATTAGGTTTTGGGACCCACAACCAGAATATTCTGCATTCCGTGAAGCCAGTTATGGTCATTCCACATTGGAGATAAAGAACCGAACCCATTCATTCTTGCACTGGCATCGAAATGATGATGGGCAAAGGGTTCCCGCTGATTCTGTAGTATTCCTCAATCGACACTGGTAAGTATGAGCTTTCTGCTTTGCTCTTTCTCGTGGAATCAACATTAAGTTTCCATTCGTTGTGTTTAGTCACCTTAGTTGTTTTAATTTTTGGCATGTCTTGCTTAATGGAGTATCTTAAGTTATAGCTTTGCTTTATCAATCAGCCTTATCTTGCGCTGAATTTAATCAAACTAGGTTAATTTGTTTTTTCTTTACAGGGCAAGCAATCTACGGAGGAGGAAACTCAAGAAGAATCATCTTAAGGCTAGAGGAGAAATCAATTTCTGAAAATATTTTGTTAAAAGCTTTGTCAATTCTTGAATCCATTTTTTGGCTTCTCCGTATTCCTCAATGCACATGATGGTTTAATGAATCTCTTCTAGTATTGCAGAATTCACCACTGCATCATAGAATAACGAGCCATGATTCATCTTGGATTTCAAGCAAAGAGATGCAGTCCAAATGCCCTAGGGAACACATTTTGTAACTTACAGAGCATTACCATATTCTTTTTCAGGTAGATGATTAATCAATACGGTTTCTGGTATAGGTGATTTTGTGTTATTCATAGAAAAATATATAAAATTTCTACATCATTTGTTACCATAAGTAAAACGTTCTTTGTAGCTATACCAAATGTCTTGTAATGACACCATGCAAAGGATGATGTGATTAATACAATGAAGTGATTACATTTTGATGAAATTTCGCAAATGTCTCAATGATAGATTGTTATTCTCTCCAGTTGCTTCTTCTAAGTATGCAAATGCAAAAGTTGCCATGTTTCTGAATTGAGAAGTTCATGGTATTGTCATTGGTTTTTGAAGATTCCGCAAGATTTTCATGGTTGAAAAGGGAGGGTTCAGTGTTGGAAGCTGTATCTGGAGACAGTAACTATGAAAGTTAAAACCATTCATGTCTCTTCTTTATCTACACAATCATCAGAATTTTTATTAAAAGCTTTACATGATCTTTAACTTCTCTTCATTCAATCATCTTCTTCCGCAATCACATGTCTCTTCTCTATACCCTTTTCTTCATCAAAATTACTTGTAGCTTTAACAGAGGAAAAAATACTGATGATTTACAAAGAAGAAAACAGCAGCCAGATGTCTTTTCTCTTACATGTTAGTTTATACAGCTTGCCGATTAGCAAGCAATTATTTTGCTCCTCATCAGTGCTAGGGAGGAGATCCGAAGGGTGTTGGTCTGAAAATTGTTTCATCGTCTCTCGGCAGTCAAACCTCACGGAATACTAACTGTGGATTCCACTTCAGATGGAGAAAAAGCTTTCCTGATTTAGCACCATCTAACTGAAATCCATCTTGAACTTCCCCTTCTAGTAAGACCCTAGTCAGCGTCATGATGCATCTCCCGATTTTGTCCTGAAAGATTGTATCAGCATGGTCTAAGACCGGTTAACAAGGTTGTCATAAAACAATGTAGCTCAAATTGCAGATTACAACAGTTCAAGAAGCTCTCATAACCAAGTTGGTTAGCACCAACGGTAGCAACAAGAAGTGACCAACATTTCATATTTCCAAGATCAACATTTGGACAGAAAACCCAGCAACCATTGAAAATCTCTACTTTGCAAACGGTGAACAATACTCTTATTGCTTCGTCTAAGGCATTAAGACCAAGCCAAACAGTTTGAGTTGCAGCTGACCTATTAGAAGGTGCCTGGCTGCACAAGTTACAGCAATATGTGCAAATGCTTCAACCATGTATAAATATAAACGTTTCCCTGATAGAAGATTATGAAGCTATTTGTATATAATTGTATACTGAGTTTTCTAAGGTGAAATTGGAATTCAAGAAGGAGGCCATAAATTGATGGGTACTTGCCCGCCAGAAGAAAAAGGAGATAGAGATAGTGAAGACAAATTGAGAATTACCTTCTTGAAGGTGTCATGGTCCCAGACTTCCAAAATTAACATTTCATGTAATGCATCCTCCACAACAAAGTCGAATGTCTGATTCCAAACTGGATTCAAGGTCTCAGTAGCAACCTGAGAAAGAAGAAGTAAAGCTCTTGAAACCTGCTATAATTAACCTTAGTACCACGTGCAGTAATCTTGAAGAAAAAGCCTACAAAGCTCATAAAGAGGGTTGTAGGAACATTCACATGCCAAAGCCACCAAATGGAAAATAAGAAATCTGAAAAAAAATGTGGCTGCTCAGAGGGAAAAATGCATCTCACCCTTGTCTTGGCTTTTGTTTCAGCTTTCTTCATTATGAGGACAACAAAAGGGTCTGCCTTTCCCATAAAATCAACTGCTGGCAAGTTTTCAGCAGCTATAACTGTCACTGATAGTACTCCTCTAACAATGACATCTCTTTTCCTCTGAGTCGTTGTTCTTTTGAGATCAGCAGCCTCTTCAACAGTTACATTTTTAAGGGCCTTCTCCAATGATGTCAATGAGAAATCAGGGTTAAATGGGTTTTTAAAGCTGCTTTCTGTGCCAAATGGACAGTATAGAAGTTCAAGCTGCACCTGTTGGGAAGAAACCATGGAACTTATAAGTAATTACAAAGTTCAAGCTGTTTACGATTTTGTAAAAGATTGAACTTCATGCCAAATGCAGGAAGTGGGAACTATTTTAGAAGATTAAATTCAAAACCATACTAGCTCTTCATAATGACATTAATCTATTTGTTCAGCAGCTTGCTTGCTACAGCTATTATTCTTCTGCTTTATGGTGACAATATTCCATAAATGAAATTGCTTTTAACTCCATTACGTAGACTTTAACATGTCATTAAAGATCAAGGAAACTTTAAAAACCTAGTCCCTAGATTAAAAAATGTGAACTCGATCTACTTTTCACTCATGTAAGTGCTGCAATCGTAACAGAGAAAACAAAAAGGACATTCAAAAGGGATCCCCACCTGACCCCTGTATTTAGTATCTCTCTGGACCTCCAAATCCTTGACCAGTTTCAACCAGATATCCTTCACTTTACCAGGCTCAAGGTCCTTCAATGCCACTTGAGCACAGCCAATCAATTCAGCAGCCTGAACCCCCTCATCATCATAGACTTTTATGGTCAAGTGTTGAGTTGATGCATCTTCTACAATGAACTCAAAGTGCTCATTCCAAACTGGATTCAATTGGTTATTCTGAAGAAAAACTATTAGAGTTAAACATGAATCCTGGAAAAGGAGATTATATGCAGAAGAAGGTAAGTATCTTACAATGGTTTTACTGGTTTTCATTTTATCACGAAGTGGACGTATAAATAAGACAGCAAAAGGATCAGATTTCCCAACAATGTCCTTATTTGTTAGGTCTTTGGCTTGCACAAGCTTCACATCTAATGTTCCAACAGGTTTCAGCTCCAGAAAACTGGTAGAGGATATAATAACAGACAATCTACTTAATTTACATCAGGAGGAAGAGCAAAAAGGAAAAGAAAAGGTGCTTCAGATTATAGCTTTTCTATAAACATAAATGGGTATTGTTTGGGAGATCAGATTCCAACTTATCTGTCCTTAGATTATATGGATAGAACATATGCAGTGAACACTTCAGGCAAAAGAAGAAATGGCAAGAGATAAATTCAACAACAGTAGTGGTGAAAGTTGGCTGAGAATAGGATCAGGTCAACCTAAATAAAAAATACATCCTAATTCTATTGTGATCAGCCGAATCTAAGCCAGAACAAAATAAAAATCCCAATTTTCGGAATACCAGGTTGAGCCAATTTGTCTCAATTTTTAGTCTGATGCTCAAGATGGTACTGATTTAATTTGATCAAAGCAAATATTTAAGGTCTTAATTCTGGAATTTCTCAGTTATTCTTTTGCTCACCAGCTTTACCAAGGCAAAATAACAGTAAGTAAATCACTGAACATCAATGGATGCAGGTGCTTAAATCTCCAGGAGTAGTCTGTGACTTTCTAAAATACTAAGCACACATATTAGGATAAATATGTATCTTCTGCTTGGTAAATATTTGCATCCAGTGCATGAATTTTCATTTATAATGATCTTCTAAAGACAAATCAACAGTAAATTCATTGTAGAAAGAAGATGGAATATTTAGCATACCTGTAATCCCCAGGTAATATGGGAACAATTTTTCGAACAGGCCATGTTATAGAATCTTCAATAGCATTCCGAATTGTGTCCTGTACCAAATTGTAAACCCAGCTCATCAGAAGTGCATCTCATCATAATTTAAAACATTAGAGGCTGAAGAATCAATGGCGAACTTCAATGCTAATAATACTTCTCTATGCAAAATACTGTCCATTATATTTTTAATGAAATTCTGGCTCAAAAATGCTTGCCAATTTACATGATTGTTCTCTTCATTGTTAACAGATAGCAGCCCTATTGGCCTAGAAACATAACCCTCACATTCCATTTTCAGAACTCGAACCAGATGAATGACCTGCTACTCCAACATAAAGATTTCAGTTTTTCCTTTTTAGTATGTGCTGAATTCTATATCTGGATATTGAACCTTTTCTATTCTTATGAACCTTTCTATTGAAAAATGTTGTTCATACATACTGAGCTGTGAGCTGCTCCATCAATTTAGAAAATTTAAGAGGTAGAATCACCAAGGTGCTGTAGACTTGCAAAGGGGACCTCCAACTGTATATATCAAAGCTAAGAAGAAAAGCATAAAACCACTGCATATTGTAAAAGCAAACAATCACCTCAATAGCATCAGAAATCCCTGGTATTGTTGATATATCACCTCCAACAACTTTAAGTGTAAACGAAAGATCTTTCTGTAGGAAAAATCACACAAAGCAATCATGCCATCAATATATAAAACTAACAAATGCCTTTAGATATATTCATATACAGATTCATATCATTAGATTTAATTTGCTACAACATATGTTACTCTTTTGAGCTTGTGTTTTTGCATCAGTTGTTAATGGAGCAGAACTATCTAATCAAATATGATGCTGATAGTGTTAACAGGACTATTGCTACCAACCTTTTCTCTCAAGGAATAGGAAACAGCTCCAAAACAGGGAAACTGATCAACAAGTGGTTTGAACATTAACCTGAAAACCCCAGTGAAGCCAATATTTTTTACCTAGACGAACAAGTTAAAACCAGGAGATGAGAAGGAATACCTTACATGAGGGACGTAAGATGAAAGATTTTCATACATACTGTGAAAGCTAAGAATACAAGAAGCTCGACACATTTGATAATGAAAAGAGCATACACATACACTTATCAGATGAGTATCATCAAGCACATTCCCTCCCCTTTTCATACACATATCAAGCACTCAGAATAGTTGCCTAGATATAGAATTATTAGAGTTTAATGACAAGTGGGAAAACCAAATATTGATGAACATGTTTGATTGCTGCAAATTTGATTGACAGAGCACAGTTTATCTTGAGACAGGAACTGTTAAACGCCAAGAAACGAACAAAGGTTCCTAGAAGTCAACTACTGATGAGTGTTTTTCTGACAGTGTTGGTCTAGTGCAACTGTGCTAATTCTTAACCGACAGAACAGGTTTTTATCAAATACATTGAATATGATAACTTAACAAGCAAGAAAGACTTTCAAGCATGAGCAGTAAGTACGGATTACCTGCACAGGCAGGGCAACACCCAGTCTGGTGTTAATATTAAGCACAATATTTGGGTTACCATCCCACTGCAGTTCCAACTCCATGGTGATTCCTTCATCACCACTTTCACTCTCAATGATGGAAACACCTAAAGAGGATTGGCAATTTGGGCAACATTTCAAACTTCAGGATATAAAAAAAAAACCAGCATCTTTGGTCTCACTAAGAGAATAATCACAAAAGCTATTCTCAATTCATTGACAGTAACATAAAACAATGTTGTAATTGAAAGAAATAACCTGTAAATTGAGGAGCTACCGTTCCAAGAGTCAACTTTGCAAACTTCATAGACGATAAGATAGCTGGTGTATATTGTTCAAGAATTGGCTCAACAATCGTTCTTATTAGCTCTGATGCTGCCTATGCCATACGACCCAAGGGGAAAAGATAAAACACTTACCCCTACATATCTTTAAGTTGTAAAGAGAGAAATTTTTTTTTGAAAAGGAAAATTTACCTGATCAACAGATGGCCACATCTTTTTGAGTTGCAGGTTAAGCCAAACCAACTGTATTTATGAAGAAACCAACATTAGTAGAGACTTGATGATAAGAACATGAGACAGAGAGAAGGAAAGAATTTGGATTTATGATGGATAACTCAACTTCTGGTGCTGAGAAAAGACAACCCAAGGTGGATAAAACTGAGGAGGTAGAATTTTTCTTGAATCCTGCACTGTCATCCGCGCAAATGAAGCAACCGTCTTTGCCTAACATATTGAATCATCAAAAACAGAGAGTACGATAACAGAGCTGATTGCTTCAGAGCCAAATGTACCATACAAAAAAATTACGTGCATGAACACATGCGAAATGTAATGTACGTTAGCAAATGAAAGAAAACCACGGTAAAAACCTGGATTTTGATTTACATGAAAGGGAATTACCAGATAAGATCGACGAGAGGATCGGATTTTCTCATATCGAGCAAAAGCGATGATCAACCAAATGCCAATGGTGAGTCCAACCAACATACCAAAAAAGAAAGACATTTTCTGTTATTCTATCAAATTTTCAGACAACCCCAGAAAATAAGATAATGTATCCTGGAGAAATATATTGGTTTCCTGGGATTTTCATTTCCATGGCATTGTAGGAAACAAAGTTGTCCTGGTTGGAGCAGAGACAAAGGAAGGAACAGCCAAAACCAATGAAGGATTTGGATCAGGATGCAGCTAGTTGCGGTGGGGAAATAACAGAAAAGAGTGTGATTTAGTTTTTAGTAATGATTAAACAATTACTTGAAGATCAATTTATTGATCTTATTCTGATCTGGAAAGAAGAAAGCAATTTGTTCTCTTCTTTTGCCTTTCTTTCTTGTTCTCGTGTCTATTTGCTTGCTTTATGTTTGAGTTTTACTTCTTTCTGCTGCTCTCTTTTGCAATTAGCCCCTCGAATTCCCCATATTTATTATATTTTCCTCTTTCTTTTTCATTGAATCCTTGTAGTAATAAATTTTCATGGCTTTATTCAGAATATACCTGACAAAAATTGAGTCAAATCCGAATGAATTTTGACTTGAATCTATGCTATTACAATCAATTACTCATTCGATTAACTAGAAATAGGGTAGGGGCATTTTTGCATCAAATTTACATGTTAAGGTGCCTTAGAAGAAAATATCAAAACATTGGGATTAATATGATTATTTTACAGTAACAAAAAGGCCCAGGCCCGAACTTCATTTTGAATTAAATTTAATTATTCATATTTTATTCTATCTCAACAGAAAAATCGATACTTGATATGCAAATTTTATTATTAATGAAAATTAAATTCATAAAATAAAGTTAACTTATAAAAACTTAAGTTTAAATTATATTTAAAATAAAAAATTTGTAAATATTACATAATTATAAAATTTAACATAAAAATATTATTTATAATCTAATTGAGATAATAAATATTCTATAATTATCACTCAATCCTACTCGAATTTATGACGAGAAATGATTTTACTATGCATATTTTATCTAAATCCTATTATAAATATTTTTAATTTTATTTAATTAAATCCAATAATACAAAATACCCTATTTAAAATATCCGTTATTATTCTTAGAAGTCATCCTTTGCCTTGGCTGGTATCAGATTCTTGGCTTTGATGTCATCATCAACCCCTAGGGATGGGCCGACAAACCCAAACGGTATTACCCGCCAATGCCACGTGCTCATGGAGATGACCCGACAACGATGGCAAATTTGTCCTTCGTGTGCCACTTGTCAGCCTTAAATCAAAATTTCTCCTCTTTTGACAAGTAAGTCCTCCAATCATATTTGTTGTCCTTTTCATGGACGCTATATTAATAATTTATTCAAATTTAGAAATTTATTATCAAATAATCTTATCATATTTGTAAAATTGTTCTTCCAACTTTTAAGATTATGTTTTACTCGACCAGCTGATCATGGGAACCACCGGACTAAAGGCATCCACCCAATTCCATGCTTCCATGTTACTCGTTTGAATTAAATCTGTTTCCAACTATTGATGGATCCCTTTCCTCAAGACAAAATGTAATTTATAACAGTGTGATTTATAAATCTAAGAATTTAAAACGATGATGATATGATTTAAGATAAGATAAAATATATAATAAAAATTATTAAAAATATATTACATATATACTTTTTAATTTTAATTTTTTATAGACATAAACATGTTAATTTTTTGTAATTTTTACTCTTTAATAATTTAATCTTAAACCCATCCTTGATTATAAGACACCATAATTAATCTTGAATTTGACAATCCATCTTACTAGACTATAAAATACTCCAAAATCTCAGTATTACTATTGGACCTCACCACGACCTGGTGGCCATTGGACTATTCAAAGCCCTAAGCTCTAGGATGATGACCAAGCCCAAGGTGAGAAGGTCAACCCATTTTGAGCGTAATTGCTACGGAGAGTATATAATCTGGGAATATAAAACCTTGGCTAATCTCAGGGTTTGGAATAACAAAGCGAGAGATAAACTTAATTAGCTATTTAGGTAAGCGAGTATTTGCATATATTCTCTTCAGCAATAACACACCTGGCCACACGCTCTTGCTCAGCATCTTTCACTTTTGCCTTCCTCACTTGAAAAAAAAAAAAAAACCATTTGAGACTTTCGGAAAGAAGTGATTGGTCTATTAAAGACAGCCTGCCCATGTTGCTTTGCTGTTCTTCCATAGGTACTTTAAGCATAGCATTGTTCTATTCATGTTAGGTACAAAGATGATTTCTATCTTCTTCCATTTATTCCTTTTTCATCTCAAATGCTCTAGAATTCTGGTTAGATTTCACATCAATCATACAAATGAATGAATTATGCTTTGTTTTCTTTTATCGATTCTACCCTATGTTCTACCCTATGTTCTGTTGTTAATGTAAAGATAGCATATTCCACTTACTTGATTGTTCTTTTTGTTTGTGAGTTTAATATCGTGTCAATATTTTTAAAAATAACAACGGGTTAATTTTGAGAGATATGTACTTGATTATAAAATTTAATATCATTTTAGTAGATATGATTAAAATTTTATTTCATTTATTTAGTTAAAAATGATACGAGCACTCTTTATAAAATTGAACTCATGTTTTGTTCGAATTCATTTAAAGTATTATTTAATCTTACTTAAATATATAGGATAATATCGAATATTTGTTTACATACTACTCATCCTTACAAAACTATATCAATTGGAAAAATAAAATCATGTTTTGGAACATAATGAGTAAATTATTTTTATATTAAAATTTAATTCCGAAGCAATATTTTTCATGCATTAATAGAAGTCAGTGTGAGGGTGTGAGAATTTGTAAGATGGAAAATACAAATTTTAATGACCAAACAAATGCTTTGATTGGCATGGAGATTCAGTGAACACGAAGCAACTTGTTTATGACTTCATTTCCATGTGAAATTTTGACCAAATTACCACACTTTGCTGCTTTTGGCTTTCTCACGGAAAAAATATGAGGAGTTTTTGGACCTGATTCCTTCTATGGGTTTTCATTTTATCTATATTATAAACATTTTTTAATATTCTTTTATGTTTTCATATTAAATATTTATATCATAAAATTTTTTTAACATTATTATATAAAATATATTAAAATCAAATATTTATCTTAATCTCTATAAAAATTAAAAATAAATATTTGACGTTGACAGCGATAGGATGATAATAAAGTGTGAAGTCAATTAGAAAAAGTAAAATGTAAAAAACCATGGACGAATAAAAGCCCATCATATTTTTTGTTTTTCTTTAATTCCAGAAAATTTGAAAAATTCGACCGTAAAATTTTAGAAAAAAAAACAAAACAATATCCTCTCTCCTACAGGAGACACGTGTTGGTCTATCTGGAACTAATAAATTTGCACCCGCGTCATCCCCGACAGCATATTTAAAAGCTCCAGAGACTCACCGTTGGGTAACCGTTCACATAACCGTTTCTTCTGGATTTCTAGATTGTCGCTCTCCTTAGATTTTTACCACCAAAATGATCGTTTTGATTTGATCTTGTTCTTCTCTTAAACTTAAATTAATTTTTAAATATTTAAATCTTTTTGCGTACTTATAAATATATTTATATTTGAATCTTTGTTACACCGCCAGAGCCTCTGTAGATTCAGTTCGTTCTCTTTCTCTCTCTGTTTTTTTTTTTTTGGCGATTTTTGTTATCGAAGAGAGAAGGAATGGCGGGAAACGACTGGATAAACAGTTACCTGGAAGCGATCCTGGACGTTGGTCCTGGAATCGACGTTGCGAAATCGTCCTTGTTGCTGAGGGAGAGAGGTCATTTCAGTCCTACTCGTTACTTCGTGGAAGAGGTCATCACCGGCTTCGATGAGACCGATCTCCACCGTTCCTGGGTTCGAGTACGATCTCATTTTAACCCCTTTCGCTCTCTTTCACTCTTGAACCTCTTGTTGTTTGGCCTCTTTCTGTTTTCTTTTTTCGTTTTTTCCCTTTTGATTGAATTTTGGAAATCTTCAACCGTTTATTACTTTAAGTGTAATTGGTTTACTTGGTTATGGTGGCTAGGCCGCGGCAACGAGGGGTCCCAAGGAGAGGAACACGAGACTGGAGAACATGTGCTGGAGGATTTGGAATTTGGCTCGAAAGAAGAAGCAGGTCTTTTTTCCCCCTATTTTTGCATGCTTGTGCGCTACTTTGGTTTGAATTTGACATCCAGGGTACTAATTAGAATGAACTGAATTAACAATTTCAAATCAGTGTCACCTCAAAAAGAAATTATTTTTTTCCTTTTTGGTGTATATTAAAGCTTCTAGTTATAGCAGATCAAAAGAAAAGGAGCCTACTTTTGCTGTGCTGGATTTACAGTTAACTGATCAATGGAATATAAAAGTGAAATTTTGTTTCTTCTAACTTCTTATTTGTTAAAATTTTGTCTTTTATTTATTTATTTTTTTGTGCTCGGTGATGGCGTTCTTCTATGCCTTCACAACCAACAATGCCATAGTTGCTTGTCTATGAGGATCATGCAACATTTTTGGTGTGTTTCTCAGTTTACTTCAGTGATTTCTGAGTTAACTGCCATAGTTCTGAGGATACAGCATGTCTTGGCCTTTCTCTTCCTGTAATTTAGGCTCTGAATTAAGATTTTATCATTGCTAATTCCGGTTTATATGAGCTATGCAGGTTGAACAAGTTATGTCAACATGTTATTTTGGATCTCTAGAACAGTCGCATTGATTCTATTGTAGCTTCCTTATCGTTGTTGGTTTGATTTATAATGAACTTTTATAGGGTATCACTATGTGCGTTAGAATGTTAATTTCTTCCTTTCAACTTTTGTGGCTTGCCTGTGACTTCAGTTTTGTCTTGCTTTTCACTTTTTTTTTTCCAGCTCGAAGGAGATGAAGCTCAACGCAAAGCTAAACGCCGCCTTGAACGTGAAAGAGGCCGCAAAGAGGCAACTGCTGATATGTCTGAAGACCTATCAGAAGGAGAGAAAGGAGATATACCTGGTGATGTTTCAGCTCATGGTGATAGTATCAGGGGAAGAATGCACAGAATAAGTTCTGTTGACATGATGGAGAACTGGGCTAATCAGCCGAAAGAAAAGAAGCTCTATATCGTGTTGATAAGGCATGCTCTGCACTACTATATGACCTGACACGTTACAGCTGTTATTGAGAGAATCATATTTTCAATGTGGTCTTTATCTGTTATATTGACACAATTTTTAGATATTGTTTCTCAGAGATTCATGATGAAATGTAGTTCTTTCTAACCAGCAGCCTTCCTGCAGTCTTCATGGCTTGATAAGGGGTGAAAACATGGAGCTTGGTCGTGATTCTGATACAGGTGGCCAGGTAATTTTTTTTCACCTCTTTAAGATTCTGTTATTGGGGTTTGTATCTTGAGAGTGCTTATTTTTGTCATCCTTTTCAATATGGAAAAGTACAGTGGTAACTCATTGGGAAAATCGGATACTGTGTTCTAAATAGGTTAAATATGTAGTAGAACTTGCTAGGGCCTTGGGCACAATGCCAGGAGTTTATCGGGTTGATTTGCTGACAAGACAAGTGTCAGCTCCAGATGTGGATTGGAGTTATGCCGAACCAACTGAGATGCTTGGTCCAAGAACTACAGATAACTCAATGCAGGATCTTGGTGAGAGCGGTGGTGCTTATATTATTCGTGTACCATTTGGCCCAAAAGATAAATATATACCGAAAGAACTGCTTTGGCCTCATATTCCTGAGTTTGTTGATTGTGCACTTAGTCACATTCGACAGATGTCCAAAGTTCTGGGTGAGCAAATTGGTGGTGGGCAAGCAGTCTGGCCTGTTGCTATTCACGGACATTATGCAGATGCTGGTGACTCTGCGGCTCTTCTATCTGGAGCTCTAAACGTGCCAATGCTTTTTACTGGCCACTCACTTGGTCGGGATAAGCTGGAACAGCTTATGAAACAGGGACGACAATCAAGGGATGAAATAAATACGACTTACAAAATCATGCGGCGGATAGAGGCTGAGGAGTTATCTCTTGATGCCTCTGAAATTGTTATAACTAGCACTAGACAGGAGATAGAAGAGCAGTGGCGCCTTTATGATGGCTTTGATCCAATATTGGAGCGCAAACTTAGAGCAAGGATCAGAAGGGGTGTCAGCTGTCATGGGAGGTTCATGCCCCGTATGGTTGTAAGTATCAAGATATTATTTGTGACTTATTATTCTTGCTTACTTTCTGTTGTTCTTTCTTTTATTTGCTCTGTTTCTGTATAACTTATGTTGCTAAGATGATTTTTAGGTGATTCCTCCTGGAATGGAGTTTCATCATATTGTTCTGCATGATGGAGACATGGATGGGGATTTAGAACGAAATGAAGAAGATTCTACTTCTCCTGACCCACCAATTTGGTCTGAGGTTATAACTATATTCTTTTGTTTAATGATCCAATCACTTCACTGACCTTTCTTTTGATTGATATACTCCGATAATATGTTAGTAACATATTGTTATTGAAGCAGTGATCTGATAATAGTAGTGACCTGCCAATTTAAAAATTTGCAGATAATGCGTTTCTTTTCCAATCCTCGCAAACCGATGATTCTTGCCCTTGCTCGGCCAGACCCTAAAAAGAATATTACTACTTTAGTCAAAGCATTTGGAGAATGCCGGCCTTTAAGGGAGCTTGCTAATCTTGTATGTCCATGCTGTTGAGCTGAACTTGCCTAGTAAAATTTGGTTGTGCTGATCTATAAAAATGGCGTTCTGAGTCTTCTTTTTCATATATTAGTTTTATGTCAGTGATCTTACTTTTTCATGCTGTTGCAGACATTAGTAATGGGAAACCGTGATAACATTGATGAAATGTCTGGCACAAATGCATCTGTGCTTCTCTCTATTCTTAAACTGATTGATAAGTATGATCTTTATGGCCAAGTAGCATATCCTAAGCACCACAAGCAGCGTGAAGTTCCTGACATTTACCGTCTAGCAGCAAGAACAAAGGTACAGCTGTTGTTAGCTGGTGAATTTTTTTTTTTTATTTAAGAAGTTATGGTTTTCTTTTCCTTTTTTTAATAGAAGAGTGGATTTTGGATTTAGGTACATGAGTTTGTGACTTCTGGGTGATCGAATGGACTGTGTCATGTTAACTTACTTTAATTGTCTTGTATATTAATATAGCTTTTGATTAAGTCAGTAAGCCATCCTTCCTCCGCTCTTGCCTGTTGACTTTCTCATTTCATTTCACGGTGCACAAAATTATGATGAGGGATCATTTACCAGGAGAAAGAAAATATTTTCCTCAAAATTTCTCTAATGTATTTGTTAATTGAGTTTTTGACTTCTTATTCTAACTCTTTCTCCTTTACTTTTCACAGGGTGTTTTCATTAATCCTGCTTTCATTGAGCCATTTGGCCTTACTTTAATTGAGGTGCTTACTTATTTGCTATAGCTATACTCGTGTATCTCAGATTTTAACATTCTAGAAGCTCTAACATGAGCTCTTCTGTGAACAGGCAGCAGCATATGGTTTACCTATTGTTGCCACAAAAAATGGGGGTCCTGTTGACATTCATAGGGTATGTCCATCACCTTTATGAATTGTATCTTATAAGGGTTTTCTCACCTGTATATTGGAACTGTAGCTAGTTTGATGTTCTAAACAAGCTCATTGATACTAACAATGAATTATTGCAGGTTCTTGACAATGGTCTATTAGTTGATCCCCATGATCAGCAGTCTATTGCTGATGCCCTTCTGAAACTTGTTTCGGATAAGCAACTATGGGCAAGATGCAGACAGAATGGGCTGAAAAATATTCATCTATTTTCTTGGCCAGAGCACTGTAAGACATATTTGTCTCGGATAGCCATGTGCAAGCCAAGGCAGCCTCAGTGGCAGAGAAGTGATGTTGCATTTGAAAATCCAGAGCCAAATTCACCTGGTGATTCTTTGAGAGACATACAAGATTTGTCTTTAAACTTGAAGCTTTCACTAGATGGTGAAAAGAGTGAAGGGAATGGAACTATTGATAATTCTTTGGATGTTGAAGACTCTGCTGATGGAAAAAGCAACTTGGAGAATGCTGTTTTAAAGTTGTCCAAGGGTGCTATAGGAGGTGCAGAAAAGGCTAGTTTAATGGAGAAAGCAGAGCCAAATGTTGGTGGTAGTAGGTTTCCTGGAATGAGGATGAGGAAATACATTTTCGTAATAGCAGTGGATTGTGATTCAATCTCGGATATTCCTAAAATAATTAGGACAATTAAGGAGGCAGCAGGGAAAGCGAATCATGTAGGGTTTATACTATCAACATCCTTGTCAATATCTGATGTGCACTCTCTTCTAATCTCAGGAAGCATAAGCCCGTTGGATTTTGATGCTTTTGTCTGTAATAGTGGTAGTGATTTGTACTATCCATCTTCAAGCTCGGAGGGTCCTGGGCTTCCCTTCACGGTAGACTTGGATTATCAATCACACATTGAACATCGTTGGGGTGGAGAAGGTTTAAGGAAAACTTTGGTTCGATGGGCTGCTTCTGTTAATGAGAAGAAAGGACAAATTGTTACAGAAGATGAATCACGATCTACTGCCCGCTGTTATGCATTCAAAGTGAAAGACCTTGAATTGGTAATTTCTTTTCCTTTCTGTGTTTCCGTGCGATATCCACTGTATGAGCTTTTCTCTCCTCTCTGTTTTTCTGTTTTATTGGACTTTTAGGGAGTCCAGTTTTCACTTCCTTTAACCTCTCAAATCTCCTCTAATGCTTGTTTTCTTTTCACAGGTTCCTCCAGTTAGGGAGCTTCGGAAGTTGATGAGAATTCAGGCTCTTAGATGCCATGTAATTTATTGTCAAAATGGCACCACACTGAATGTAATCCCTGTTTTGGCTTCTCGAGCTCAAGCTTTAAGGTATTCCTGCTGAAGTTGTTCATGTTTCTTCATGTAGCTCTTTTGTTTCTATCTCTGGTCGTGAAGCTTCTGTTTATTCTACTATTCCATCATTCATGTATCACTTTCAGATGGCTCATCAGTATTAAATTGATTAGTAAATTAACAAAATGACATGCTCTCCTTCAGGTACCTGTACATTCGTTGGGGCATGGAGTTATCAAATGTCATCGTCTTTGCTGGAGAATGCGGGGACACAGATTATGAGGGCTTGCTTGGAGGAGTCCATAAAACTGTCATATTCAAGGGAATTGGAAACAGTGCTCTTAAGCTTCACTCAAACAGAAGCTTCCCTCTAGAACATGTCCTGCCATTTGACAGTCCCAATATCCTTCAAGCTGAAGGATGCAGCTGCGAGGACATAAGGGCATCACTGGGAAAACTAGGGGTTATCAAGGAATAGGCAATCTACTGCTGTTCCATTACTCTTCCATTCGACTGTACGACCTATAGCTTCTTTTTGGATAAATAGTGGGCAGACCTCTTGATGTCTGTCTGTATTACAATAAGGTATGGATCCTGACTTGACCATAAAGCCACTTGATTAGCTTACTACACTTCTCGTCTCCCTTCCCATACCAAAGATATGCAAAACCGTTTTTACTTCGAATACTGTTCAATTGGTATACAACCAATTGCTTGAGTTGGGCACTTGGAGCATTTCGACTTAATTGATTGGTATACGATTTATTGTTCAAAAAGTATTTTGATCTCTTTTCTCTTATCGGGTCCGAAGAAAAAGAGTTTAGTGCATTTATTTGTAATGTTTTTCTCTCACAAAATGGTAATTTTTTTTATTATGAATAAATAATTTTTTCCAGATAACTTAGTATTTTCCATTGTCAAGATCTTGTGGCCGGAAATAATCAGCAGGAAAAATATATATATATATATGTATATATATATTTCTAAAAGTAATCAATCATCATCTTTAAACTTTCCGATTACATATCAATCCAAATTTTATCCCAATCCTAACTACTACATTGTGATTGACCACTCTCTTTTCTTTTAATTATGAGATTAAAATATTCAATATACAAATGGACTTGATAAGAAATTAAATTTCCCATTTACTTTATATATTACTATTAATTTTTTAGAACTTATTATTAAAAAGTAAAAATTAAACATTCCCCTCTCGCCCCACCTTTCTTAGTCTTGATTGATTTTTTGATTAAACGAATTTAATTATAATAATTTATTTCTAAAATATTATAAACAATTAAAATTTTTGTAAATTTTATTATTTAAAATTATAATTTTATCAGTACTAAAATAAGGATCAAAATTGAATTTATTTAATAAAAAAAGTAAATAACAGACAAACATAATGAAAAGCCGACGAAAATAATAATTCTTTTTTAAAAATATTTTTTTAGTATTACCTTCTTATATACTTACATGATAACTATATAATGGATTAAAATGTTCCTGAGAAATATCAGATATGTAGATTGATTGACGGCTTAAGGGCACAGAACAACATGCACGTAAATTTCTTACAGCAGATGCTTTGTTTTTTCTTGCGTGAGAGAGGTAACGGGAGCCCATAGACCCACTTGTTGTCAAACCCTAATGTATGGGCGTCATGGACTTTTGAGGTTTTGAAAATTAAAGTATCTAATCTCTCAAGTTTCCCTCTCGGACAGACACAGCAAATCAAGATAAGAGGTTTGGTTTGTTGTTTAAAAGGAGTGAAAGGAGTGTCAGTGATTCACTAAATCTCTACTTCCTTCATAAACCCTTCTATATCACAGGCATAAGATGAGGACGCTGCAGTGAAATCGGTTCCCAATGGGTGACTTTAGTTGCACCGCCCCTTTTTTGCTATACCCTTCTATCTTTCTCATTCTCTTATTCTCAACCATCAATCACAGCTTCCATTTCTATCATTTTCCTTCTGTGATCACGTCCAATCACACCAAGATTTCCCGAGAAAATCATTCCGAAATCTTGGTCTCTCCTTCTTCAAGCCCTGCTATAGATTTTCATAATGGAAGCTTTGTCAGCAGTGGTGTAAGCTGACATAATGATGCTTTCCTTTTCCTTTTTATTTTTTTGGCGGGATTTAGTGTTTTTTTGACTTTTGGGTTGTTTTATTTTGTGTTAACAGGTGCAAAACAAGAGCCAGTTTGAGATTTTGGAAGAAGGGTTGGCGAGGGCAAGAGCGGCCATACGAGCTGCATCTCGGTTTCGGAGGTCTACTTCGACCAGGGCGGAGAGTTTTGCTCCCAAGGGATCTGTTTACAGAAACCCTTACGCATTTCATCAGTTAAGAAATTTTTCTCAATCTTTTTTCTTGACGTAGTCTGGCTTTTGAACCTAAGTTTTTGAGCCATTTGAAGAAGAACCAAACGTAAAGGGCTTGCAGCTTTACTGCGTATGAATGGTATAGGAAGAGAATGGGGACAAAATTTTCCTTTTTGTCGTCTTTTTATCAGTTAAAAGATTTTGCTTTTTTGGGGAAAAAGTTCAGTCGAAGACTTCAGTTCTTGCATTGGAATAACATACTATGTTTTTAGACCATTTCAAAAGAAAATATTGGCTACGATCCGACTCTTTACAAGCTAGAATACATGCAACGAGTAACAATTTCTTAATGAACAGTTTTTCCAGGATCTAATCCCTTAGTTTCTTGCTCAATAAAAATTCTCTATTTAAGCACAAGGTTATCAATTTGGAGGAGTAGAAAGTCAAAAATGAATGACTAAGTTCACCGTATAGCCATAGATTTAGAGCTCCATATATGTGGTAGGGTGAGGGGGTAGGATAGCATAACACAAATATGGTGAACCAAACCATTTTCCGATGAATTTTTGCCCTTTTTATGATTTGCACACAAATCCTAGTCCTGGTTCTGATCTACGCCAATCAGCAACATTTGCAGTGAATTAAGTATGAATCTCTTTGATAGCAATAAAAGATTTGATTCATAACTTTGTACTTACCTCAATAAATAAGTTCGTTACTCACCTTGGGTGTCACAATCTCTAGATTCTTTTCTATCCCAAGGCCTATCCATTTCGAGATGGTCCCCGATTTCTAAATTTAAAGATGGTTTGCAGAATTGACATTATCGAATTGATTTACAGCGAATTGAAACTTTATGTCGATCTGTTCTCTCTGTTGATGCATGTGGCAGGAGCCACATTGAGATGCAGAAGCGATTCAGAGTGTGGCCATACAGGGAAGGAGATCCACCCCTTTTTCACAAAGGTCCATTGAATTCTATATACTCTATCGAAGGGCATTTCATTGATGAATTCGAGAGCGGAAATTCACCATTTTTGGCTCGCCACCCTGACGAGGCCCTTGTGTATTTCCTCCCCGTCAGCGTCGTGAATATCATAGAGTATGTTTACAGGCCTTACATCGATTATTCTCGTAAGCGCCTGCAGAACATCGTTAAGGACTACATCGACGTAGTTTCAACCAGGTATCCCTACTGGAACAGGAGCAATGGATCTGATCATTTTCTGATTTCTTGCCATGATTGGGTAATGTTTCTGTTCTCCAATTGGTTCCTTCTAGTTTATGTTAAATGGAGTCATTTGCCACGACGAGTCTCTAATTTTTTCCATCCACATATCTGTCACATATTCCAGGCACCGGACGTTTCAGCTGCCGATCCAAAGCTATTCAAGCATTTCATCAGAGTTCTCTGCAATGCCAACTCATCGGAAGGATTCCAACCCGCAAGAGACGTTTCATTGCCGGAAATGCTACTTCACTACGGGATGCTGGGACAGCCTCAACAGGGCCAACCCCCAAACAACCGTCCAATTCTAGCCTTCTTCGCCGGCGGCGAGCATGGGTTTGTAAGAAAAATACTATTCAAATATTGGAAGGAGAAAGACGATGATGTTCGCGTGTATGAATACCTCCCCAAGACCCTAAACTACACTCAACTCATGGGTCAAACTAAGTTCTGCCTGTGCCCCAGCGGATACGAAGTTGCAAGTCCCAGGGTGGTTGAGTCCATACATTCCGGCTGCGTTCCGGTGATAATTTCGGACAACTACGTACTACCCTTCAGCGATGTTCTAGACTGGAGGAAATTTTCCGTTCACGTTCCGATCGCCAAAATCCCCGAAATCAAAACAATTCTGCAAGGAATCTCTGTCGAGGAATACCTGACAAAACAAAGGAGAGTGCTCCAAGTGCAACGACATTTTGTGCTGAATCGGCCTGCCAAACCCTATGATATAATGCACATGGTGATGCATTCGGTGTGGCTCAGGAGGCTTAATCGAGGGTTGTCACTACAATGAATATTGTTTTGTGCATGCTTGTAACAAATTAATGTATACGTGATTCCATATATATGCAGTTCATCTAATAATCTTACAAACTCTCTTATTAAATTCAAAATAAATAGAGTAGAGATGTTTTATGTACGGTGATAAAAAAAATTAAATTTGGACAATGTTTGTAATTTTTTTCTTAAAAGTTCTATTACAATTTATTTTTGACATGTGTTTTATGCAATAGAATTTATTATTAAAACACCATTTAAAATCCAGTTATATTTTTAAAAATTAGACTAGAATTCAATTCACCTATTTAAATTAAATTCATTAATAAATATTTTAAAATTAAAATTAAATTAAATAGTAATTATTAATATAATAATATGTCGACATAAGTCAAATCCGGAGGGACGAAAAAGGTAACGTAAATTTGGCAATAGTTTTTTACGGGTCCAATTTTGGAGGGAAAATACTAAACAAGTTTAGCTAGCCTCGTTATTTAATCAACATTTCATGGGCAAAAGTGTAATTTAATAACACAGTCACACACTCTCCTCCTCGAGTGCTAAACAAGTATTTAAGACAGGAAAATGAAGCAAGCCAAACCATCTCTTCTCAGTTCTCTCTCTCTCTCTCTCTCTTTAATTTCACTTTGCAGAAACCGTCGTTTTCCCTCGCTTTCTATCTTCACAATTTTCTAGAGAAAAAGGAATCACACTAGCCAAACGCACTGTTTTTTTCCTCATTCAAATTAAAATAACAGCTTAATTTCCCCAGATGGAGAGTTGCTATCGATATTCAGCGGCCGCTTTAGCTTGGCTATGTGTTTTCTCGATCCTCGTGGTTTTCTTTGCCTCTGCCCAATTCAACTCCTTCGTGAACTTCTCTGCTTCGAAGCTTGAATCACCGAAACCGAAACCGACACTTGAGTTGCAGAGAATCGTTTCTACTCCTGATAAAATCAGAGCCGTTAGTTTCAGCGGATCAACTGATCATCAGCACCTCTACCGACCTAAAAACACCACCGTCATAGTAAAACTCTCTCTCTCTCTCTCTCTCTCTCTCTGTGTAACAGATTAAGAAATAATTAAAACCGTTATTTAATACCGTGAATCTTTAAGGATAGGATCATATTTTTTACCTTATGTTTTGCTTTTCTTTCTATTTTTAATTTCGATAGTGTTCTGATTTTTCTCTTCTTTTTTCTTTTACCATAAATGCTGATCAATGAGATTCATTGTATATTGCTATTTCCAGAGAAAAAGGAAGAAACCGAATAGAGAACAAGTGTTAGAGCAAGGACTAGCTAGAGCTAGAGCTTCGATTCGCTCTGCGGCTACAGCTCGAAACGTCACGGTAACTTTGGAGAAAGACGATTACGTTCCCGTCGGAGATGTCTATCGTAATCCAAGCGCGTTTTATCAGTAAGAACTAACTAATTTCTTCGTTTCCTTAAGCATAAAAAAATGGAAAATGGAAATATAAAAGGAATCGAATCATTTAGTGCTACGTAATTATTATTCAAAGTTTTAAAAAGAGGTTTGGAACTGCTTTGCTTCTAAGGTATTAGCAAACTATAAGAGAGAGATACTTATTTCGGCCAATCTTTATTTCTGTGTAATGGAAAGGATTGGAGAGATTTTGATTTTGAGAAGTTGTTTTCTTCTGACTGAAGCTACAGTGGGGCAGTGAAAATGAACTGAACAATTGCGCACTCGCGCAATGCACTCATTTCCCCTTCACAGTTCACACTCAACACCGTATTATCATGGCCACAGAAAAAGCAGCGTTTCCACTTATAGTGTAGTAAGATTGACGGTTTATTTTATGCGTCGTTCAGGGTTGACGTTCTTTTTTTGCTGAATGGGGTACTTGCTCTTGCAGTGAATAGACCAAACTACTATTTACCCTTTGACAAAGAAAGGTGCTAGTCCAAGAATAAAAATTCTCAAGTGGCTCCACTTAATGTCTCGTTTAGTCTTCTTCTTCATAATATTACGTTACAGGTTCAGTCTTATAATATCAACTAAAATCTTTTCAACTCAACCTTAAATCTTAATTACAGAAACAAATAATCTAGTAGTAAGGATGACTTACTTAATACTTGGCACAAAATTATTAAAAAGATATCAGATGAGGTTAGAAAATATATGTGAGTGTGTGTTGGTGTTGGTGTTGGTGGGATATGCAGAGTAATAATGAGAAATGACTTAGAGCTGGGTTTAAAAGTGATGGGGTTGAGACAGTGGTCCAATAAAACCAAAAAAATTCAATTTGCTTGTTGAAATTATTACTCCACATTTGATAATAACATACACTAGAGTGCTTTGGTGTCGTTATTGATAGTTAAGTGGGTGCAAAGACGACGTGGAGAAGCCTCAAAATGCTCTTTAATCAAGCATATTGTACTAGTTGAAGTCATTGAACGAGTGAGATTTCACATAAAAATCTTAAATTGTCTTTAATCAATCATTTTATTTTTCTAAGTATATACTCATTAAGCTCAAGATCTCGAATTACTAGCATTTCATTATGCATTTCGACGTGTATGCAACATCTTGATGAAGATATTGATAGTGTTCTTAGACTGTTCTAGGATACAATAATCAGTTGTTAATTCCCAGCAAAGGGTGCCAAATCACTTGAAATTACACTTGACACCAATTTTATGTTCAATCATTACAGGAGCTATGTGGAGATGGAGAGGAGATTCAAAGTCTACGTGTACACAGAAGGGGAACTGCCGATAGTCCACGATGGGCCATGCAAGGAAATATACACGATAGAAGGAAGATTCATACACGAGATGGAGCACGGGGCTAAGAGGTTCCGGACAAACGATCCTCGACATGCTCTCGTTTACTTCATGCCCTTCAGCGTGGCCTGGATGGTCAAGTATATTTACAAGCCGCTGAGTTACAACGTTACTCCTCTTAAGCAATTTGTTTCTGATTATGTCAAAGTGGTATCCACCAAGTACCCATTTTGGAATCGAACTCATGGCGCTGATCACTTCATGCTTGCCTGTCATGATTGGGTGAGTTTCACTCTTCCCCCAATTTTTCTTTCTTTTTCTTTCTTATCTTTCTTTTGTCCCATCAACCTCCTCTTGGCTTTACCTCTTGGTTTCGCTTTGAGGATGTGGCTCAAATATGCCATTTCCACCTCCCTGTTAATAATCAAGTAAATGAGTTGAAAATAAGATGGAAATGTTAATATGAACTTCATTTTCCTTTGCTTTTTATTGCAGGGGCCTCATGCATCACAGGGCAACTCACTCCTCTACACAAATTCCATTCGGGTCTTGTGCAATGCCAACACCTCCGAAGGCTTCAACCCACAAAAGGACGTAAGCCTTCCCGAAATCCGCCTAAACGGTGGCTTCTTATCCCCCAAACTCCTCCAGCCACCTCTCCCCAACGCTTCTAGACCCCATCTCTCTTTCTTCGCAGGGGGACTTCACGGCCCAATCCGCCCATTCCTCCTCCAACATTGGAAGGGCCGCGACGATGAGATGCAGGTCTTCGAATACCTCCCGAAGGACAAAGACTATTACTCATACATGCTCCAATCCAAGTTTTGCTTATGTCCAAGCGGGTATGAAGTTGCCAGCCCCAGGATCGTCGAGGCCATATACTCCGAATGCGTACCGGTGATCCTGTCGGAGCGCTATGTTTTGCCGTTCAGCGATGTGTTGCGGTGGGAGGCTTTCTCGGTACAGGTGCAGGCGACGGAGATTCCCAGATTGAAGGAGATTTTGTTGGGAATTCCAGAAGAGAAATATCGGAAACTTCAGGAAGGTGTGAGGGCAGTGCGGAGACATTTCATGTTGAACCAACCTTCCAAGAGATTTGATATGTTCCACATGATACTGCATTCTATATGGCTTAGGAGAATTAATGCAAGACTAGGATAGATCTCATGGTTATTTTCCATACTATTATGTTAAAATCCCAAAAAAAAAATGAAAAACATGTTTATATGGTTTGTTATAGGAAGAAAATATACGAGATTAATTATGTTTTTTCTTCTTTTGGGTCCTCTAACCTCATGTAATGCTTACAGAACAATCTGTAATTTAAATTTGTTTATGAATAAAAATTCGTATTTATAATTAACACATTACGTTGGTTACAAGTTAACTCAAATTAAAAATACAAAATTAATGATTATTGTAAAACTAAATCTATTTTTAAGAACGTTAATTCTTTTCTTTTATTTTGTTATCTTTTAATTATAAAAATGTCATTAAAATTAAATTATCTGCATGCTATGTTGAAAGAAGTGAGTATATAAAGTGCAAGGATTGAACCTCAAGCAAACATACATTATCACTTGCCGTTGCATAGGATTGTGATTTTTTTTCTTTTTTTTTTTTAGGAAAATGGTGTCGGGTTGGGTTGATCCAATGGAAAGTCCGGCCCATTTTCAGCCCATTTATACTGTACGGAACAGGCGAATAGAAAAATCTGGCCCTTCTACAATTATGGGCCATGCAAAATAAACCGAAAAATAATTTTTTTTATATAAGAGTAAAGTTAATATAAGAAATTTACTAAATGTATAAATGTAAAATTATATAAAAAAAATACCACGCAAAATATTAAATAGAGACGAAAATTTTTTTAAAGAGAATATTCATTTAATTTACTACGTACAAGCCTAGAATCAAAGAATTCAAAACATGGAAATGTATGTTTTTTTTTAATATACAAAGCCACCGTTTTCCAAAGAAAACAGTCCTATTTGCAAATACATGGCTATACAAATTTTTTGAATCCTTTTACTTTATTTACATTCCTAGCTAGGAGTGTAAGAATGAGCCTGTCTTTGTTTTCTTCGTTTAACTGCCTAAGTATATTTACAAGGGTTTTTCACCTGATAGGAATGAAGTTGTGAGAGAAGCGTTCGATTTGAGACTTGAGAACGTCTCCAAGAGAGAACAGGCCGTCAGATGGCCTCGGGGAGGAGGAGGAAGAAGCCCTCGGTCGTCTGATGGTATCATTCTTGACTTCAAGGTCTATCACGTCCATCTCTTTCTTCACTGACTCCACGAAGTCCATGTCGACGTCGACCTCGTTCCCTGATATGTCTCTCACGTAGAAAGCGTTCACTGCTTTTTCTCCTTGGGTTTCTACATCTGCTCGAACCACTGTGAGACCGTTCTCCCTCAGAAGCCGAGTTATATCCGACAGAAGCCCTACCCTGTTCTCTGCACTCAGCTCTACTCGAACTCCCTGCCATGATGCAATAGGTTGGTGAAGAGAAATGGTAGAGAGTGAAACGTTTGGTTTGGCTTTCAGTGACAACTTTACCTCGCAAACCCGGCGTTCTATAGCTGCTTCCAAGCATTTTATAACTCTATCTTTCTCGCCCTCTGTACTTAAAGCATATCCGTCAACATGTCTTATGAAGTATTCCTGAATTTACATAACAAATAAGTATAAAAGAAGGAACAAACATAATTGGAAATTGGGTCGTAGACACAAACCTGGAATGATCTACCTTCACGAGAAGTAATGGAAGCATGGAAGATCACGTATTCCATATCAATAAGCGTACACACCGTATCGAACATGAGCCTTGGCCTGTCTTTACATTCTATGCTCACAATGGAGTACCATTTCTCGTGACAATTCTCAATGGAGACCACGGTCTTTCTTCCCTCTTCGTCACCGTCTGACCCTGGTGGCGGTGATGATGTGCTCACTGGCTCAAACGGGGGTCCATCGAAGTCCCCAACTGAAAGCATAAGCTGATGCAACCTGCGTTCCACATCAGCCATGTTGGTGCCTTCGACGAACTCAGCAGTCTTCACTTCTTGTGGGCTGGTCGTGTCGAACCCACTTTGTATTGGTGTAGTGGTGGCTCGAAGCACTGTGGTGAGGTGGTCCTCGATGGTGGCAAGGCGGTGGGGATCATAGATTGGGGTGTCAGTGGACTGATCAGAGATGTAAGCTACGCAAGCCAATCGAGCATTGTGGCTCCACGCATGTGCCTCCACAACGTTACAGTGGAGGTCAGCTAGGGCTGCCGATATCTCGGAAAAGAGACCCGGCCGATCTGTTCCACTCATTTCTATAGCAGTGTGCTCGCTTGGTTGCTCGGAGTTGAAAACGTCATTGCTGCAGGCCTTGGCCTTGACGGTGTTTTCGCTTTCCCTAACTGTACCTATGGCCTGAAGTCATCAAAATTTTCATGTGAATCCCTCCATTATGGAAATAGGTTCAGAATTTGCAGACATTGGAACCCAACAGTATTCACCTGCTGGATATAGTTAATCACGTTCTGGTCTTTAAGTTTGTTTCCGTGCTCATCTTTAACATGAAATACTGCAAAAAACAAAAAAAAAAAAAGAAACAATCAGCCCCCATGTCAGAAAGTTGAAACACGATGAGATTCAATGAAAATCAAGTGGTTTACCATCCATGAACCAGCCAGCGTCAGAGGAAATGTAGCTCTTTAAGATGGTGAGGTTCATGTTTGTCAACACTTGCACCACTTCCAGGAGGATGCCTTGCTTGTTTACGCTATCTACCTGCGCCATGATCAGAAAAATCATTAATTCTAGTTGACTTTGTCCCACCGTATAGCTAGGAACTCGCTCTTTGTTCGTCGTTACCTTGATCACGGTGCAATCCTCCATGCTTTCGTTGTCAATGCAAACTCTACAGCTGCAAAGGGAGAGCGAAGGTATAGGGACATGAATTTTTCCAATAACGATCACAGGAGGAGATACCTTAATCATTTTAAAATGCTTAAAAGGATTACTTACGGAGGACCATATATCCTCTCTGGGAGATTATCAAATTCAGGATCAAAGTAAGGCCAACAAACCTTCTTCATGCTGCAAATTACATTGAAAATCATCAGAAACAAATATAATCCTGAAATTACTTCCATTGGGGATCATCTTTGTTCATCGTATACCATTCAACAAGCTTTGAAATGGATCGAATATTGATATATATATATCATATCTTAATATACATAAAAACAAGAGGAAGAGCAGAACAGCTTACACAGATGTAACAATGTAGTGGGGGGAAACGAAAACCCAAGCTGATAACCAACCCAGCAATGCCCAGAAGAGAGAGAAGGAATCAAGATGATGTCAGTCTCTCTCTCTCGCTCTCTCTCTCTCTCTTGAAGAAGGAGAAACAAGAATACCAACAGAAAAGAAAACAGGTTTGGTTTCACAAATATATGGGAGGAGAAATACAGGGAAGAGAGAAAAGAGGAGGTATAGGGGGGGAGATGAGTGTTTGATTGCTGTTTCTTAGGTTTGTGTGATTGGGAGTATGATTAGCTTAAATAGAATGTCAAAACTTAAAACCGTGTGGAGGAGATTGGTTTGTGTTCAGAGGGACACGTAACAAAAGTCAAATGCATTTATCGGCCACGTTTTGCTTTGATTTTCTTCATGCATAGCGCCCACATGTTTTGGAAGCGTAGAACTAGCTAGTCTTCCTGTGAATCAGAGAAGTACCCTAATAAATAGCTAAGTGAAGAACATGAGACGAAAAGCTAGCTAGTACTTGCAGAAGTCGTCTTCCTTCAAAAAATACTGTAGTATGTGCAGCACAAATGTGGTTTCTTGTATATCACCATTGCATAGACGAATGGGTCAAAAACAAATGGATGGTGAGAATAAGCAATGAAACATGAAATGAAGATTTTTGGTTTGAATGATTCAGTAAGAATCAATGTCTTATTCTCAAAGTGTTGAAATTTATAACAAAATTACAACAACGTTAGTTATATATATATTTTTTTAACGTAACATTTGATTTAGTTAATTAAAATGTATTTTATTTCTCCACATTAATTATATTGATTTCATAATGTTTATGTTTGATGTAATGATGTTTAAATGAAATCATGCTTTCGTGGCAAATTGGGCGATTGATCTTTCTTGATGATGAGTTTGTTTGCGTGCAAACGCAGGGCCAGAATTGTCAATGACTTGTGAGTTATGACATCTGTCCAACCAGTGGATGCCTGATTCCCTTCCAAATATTTGCCAGACTTAGCCTAGCCAGCTACATATCCTCCCATCATGTGTTGATTCTACTGTGTTGCGATAAGGTGAGTTGATTAGCCAAAAGGATAACGTTAAATTGACCATCATCATCATCATCTTCCTAATCAAAAGAGGAGGAAGCCCAGACACCATTTTCATGGCCATTTTCACACTGGGATAAAGCATGAAAGGATATTTCAAAGGATACAAGTAAAATAGATTGTAGAAACTGGGAGAAAGAGAGAAATCAACAAAACTTTTCAAAGGCCTATAATTAACTTTTATAAAAATTGAAGCAAAGGGGTAAATGGCATTTCCAACTGTTAGTTCTATCGGGTGATGCACACATTCGATCAGCAGAACATGCATTACGTACCCAGCCCCTTTCTTGACCTGGGAGGATCTCTCTTTTATTTTTTTCTTTTCTCCTCACAAATGCGCTCCAACAGTTCTACCAGTCAAAATGCCGATCAAGAAATTCAAAAAAAAAAAGAAAGAGAGAGAACATCTCGATCAAATTGAGATGTTAAGCACCTCTATGGGGGTAAGTATAATGCGTAGGCACAAACGGAACATGTGGGGCTCTAGAAAATCAAGCATGATTGAACCAAGGCCCTACAGCCCCGTTCACATGCCCATTGCTGTGGATCCCTACGCCGTTGGGGATGAGGGAAGGTGGCAGCCCGACAGCCATCGGTGGTGGTGTTGTAGGGTATAACCCATGATTGTGTGGGATGGTATGTGGACTTACAAGAGGACTGCCAGCAGGACTGCCTTTACGCTGCTGGAGGGCATGGATTTGCCTGAGCCCTTCCTCGTGAATCCTTGACAAAGTTTCCAACTCCTTCATGGACAGAGCTTCTAAACCAGCACCGTAGAGGGGGGCATGTCGTGACATTTCTTCTTGAAGTGAAGCCTCAAGTGTGTGAATATATTGCTGCAGAAGACAAGGCAGGAATGAGAAAGAAACAGTGACAAACAAGCATTCAAATTTGACTTCCTAAGCTCACAGCGTTCCGTGCAAGCCCCCAACAATGATGATTCAGATGCAAACTAGACATCTGAAAGCAAAAGGGTTGAGGAAGAGCAAGATATGACAAGTTCAAAAATACCCAATCTCCTTTGCACTAAGTCTACCCACTACACAGTGGAAACCTCCTACAACTTCAAAAATGAAAGATGATGATGAAATATAAAAGACAGGAACTATGGTGAAGCAAAAACCTGGCAGGCCTGCAACTTGGATTCCATGCCATCGATATATGCTTCACACCTCGCAACCTGCTCTTCCTTTTCCCGCTTTTCACCTTCAGTTTGCCCAACTGTTTGTGTCAATCTGCGTACTTCATCTTCAAGCGATTGACGAATTTCTTCTCGAGTCACATTCTCTGTGGCATACCGTTTCAATTCTTCATCAAATCTTTTCCGTGCAGCTTCAGCACTCTTCAATCTTTCAGCAAGAGCATTCTTCTCCTTTACTACCCTCTGTCACATACAAAACTTGTCAGATAAAGCACCAAGATAGCAGTCAATCCAAAGCCCAAACAAGAGCAAAGAGATGCCACATTTGTC